CTCTTTGTTGTCTCTCTGATTAATGCCCTCCTTGCCTGGTCCGTGAGTTTTGGTGGTTGGCCCTCTCTTGGCAGGTTTGTTATGGTGCCATATTATTTCCATTTTTTAATAATGGATTTAATGGTGCTCGGTGGGATGTTCAAAGTTTCTGATATTTTTTTATAACCCAACCCTGATCTGTGCTTCTCCACAACTTTGTCCCTGACCTGTTTGGAGAGCTCCTTGGTCTTCATGGTGCCGCTTGCTTGGTGGTGCCCCTTGCTTAGTGGTGTTGCAGACTCTGGGGCCTTTCAAAACAGGTGTATATATACAGAGATCATGTGACAGATCATGTGGCACTTAGATTGCACACAGGTGGACTTTATTTAACTAATTATGTGACTTCTGAAGGTAATTGGTTGCACCAGATCTTATTTAGGGGCTTCATAGCAAAGGGAGTGAATACATATGCAAGCACCACTTTTCCATTATTTATTTTTTAGAATTTTTTGAAACAAGTAATTTTTTTCATTTCACTTCACCAATTTTGACTATTTTGTGTATGTCCATTACATGAAATAAAAATAAATTTAAATTACAGGTTGTAATGCAATAAAATAGGAAAAACGCCAAGGGGGATGAATACTTTTGCAAGGCACTGTATAGGGCTATATATCAATCTAGAACAGGATTATCTGTTTTATATATTGTAGCTCAGTTGGTAGAGCATGGCGCTTGCAACGCCAGGGTTGTGGGTTCGATTCCCACGGGGGGCCAGTATGAAAACATTTATGCACTCACTAACTGTAAGTCGCTCTGGATAAGAGCGTCTGCTAAATGACAAAAAGATGTAAAGAAAAAAATGTAAATGAATGGAATTGATGGAGAGAAAGATTGCAAGAGAGTGCTCGCGCTGTGCACTGATTTAAAGCAACGATATTCGAGTGATAGGCTGTTTTAAAACTCTAAACTAAAAAAAAGCATCTTTACAAGAAAAAAATAAAGTGACCCCCGAAAGCCGGATGGAGATGGGTCAATTAGACGCGCATTCAGATTTTATATTATAGAATATGCTGCAGCAAATGTAGGCCTACCTGTCACAAAATAAAAAGTTACCATGATGAGATGATAGATCTACATGCATTGTGAACTGCGCTCCAATCAGAGATGGTCTGTCCCCACCCTGAGCGTTGATGATTCATCATGCAGAGGCCACAGAGAAGCCAGGTTTAGACATTGCATATAATTTAACAGTTCCATTTCACACCATGCTGTTCATATTTTATTATAATTTACCGGTTTCTCGCAGTTATTTATCCCGGGAAAAGGGAGTCGTTTTGGGCGGTAAATTCCGGTAAATCTCGGTAACCGGGTTCCCGCCATTCAACCCTAGTAGTAGTACCAAGTGGTTGAACACTCTTCAAGATTTATGCCCTGAGACAAGTCAACTGTTTCCAATTTTCTAAGTGCATCCATCTGTCTGAGAGAGTGAATTGCTTTCTTTGACCTTCATGAAAGGAATGGGTAAAAGAAAGGGGAAGTCTGAGAGGGAAGTGGAGGGTACGTACAGTACATTGCAATTATTCATAATAAGCAAATTAGAGGTGTCATTTAGTGAGGCCTTTTCACCACTGATGTCAGCAAAAGTATATTGTACAGTGAAAAATGAAAGGTCCTTTTTCCTGCGTTCAGAGAACTAACTATGCAGTCTGTCAGAGCGATGCTTCCCTACTGTGCATGGCTTAGCTAAGCCAGATATGCTGTAGATAAGCTCCTGCAACAAGTAATCGTACATGGAAGTCGATTATCTCTATGTTTTTGGCCCTCAAATCGGTTTCAGAAGTACATTTGTTTTACAGAACACGTCCTCTTCCAGTCCCCACCCATTTCATGTATCCCAACAGAGCACCAAGGTTATGTTTATTTTTACAGTGCCGTATTCATTGAAAAAACGATTTGGAAATACAATTGAATGGTGGACCAGCAAGCTATCTGATTTTTGATATCTCCTAAATTTACAGCATGCATTGGTGAAACTCACTGTAATGTTAAGTTCATATTGTAAATTCATCATAAGTGCTTTACATTCTGCAGGTGGCATGTGAACCCAGTGCCATAGGAAACGTAATTAGACACTAAAATAATTAATGTCTGCACACTACAGGAAGTGGGTCAAACAAGCGCTTCAGCAAATGATCCTGGTCTGAAAGTAAGTTTGTTAAATTGAAACAAATCAAAGTTAATTCATTTAAATCAACCTGGATGGGAATTATTTGAATGAAAATACCCTGAATAGTAACCTAGTTTAAGAAGTTGGTATGGTAACTTTTCCATAGTACCATGTCATTTTGCACATTCATCACTAGGATATTTGAATTGCCCAAAACCTGCATTGACAGAACATTGGTGTTTGGCTGCCTTCCTAACTAGAGATTAGAGTGGGAGTCAGGAGCAAAGGATTAGGCCTACCATTACCAGCTGATTACACCAGTGCTAAACTGAAAGCTGAGAACATTCTCTCACTTTCATAGGCACAAGACGTCCATAGTTTATAGAATAAAGGCTCTGGTTTCAAGTCTAGAAATTGCTGGTCTATTTGGGAAAGCACACTTCCTTCCCCAAGTTGACTTTAGCCTTTTTCCAAACATTGCTATGGATTCAAGACATAAGAAGTTTGCGACGCAATGTAGGAGGCATAGTCATATTTTTTGGGAGGTTGTTTTTGTTTAATACTGTTACAGCTTTGAAAATGTAGGCCTAGACATTTGGGGTAAGCAGCTCTTTTTTTTATTTGTTATAGAGTAGAACGGATAGTGAGTAGATAGTGAACTTATCTTAAATAGAACAGGCATGTCAATGGATAGACCCCTCTACTCTTTCAATGTATCCTCTCTTATTCGCTGCCACCAAGATATCAATCATTTCTGTGCTTTTTCCTTAAGAGCCTGTGCTCGTCCTCCTGACCTCGGGCACTAATCAGTGTCATTCAAAGGCACAGAGAGGGAAAACTGGAGTGCTGCATGGAAACTGGGTCAATGCTGCTGACCCACCCTTTATTCTGTGCTGCTGAGAGATCTAGTTTGGCATTCAGGCAGATGTGTGTTTGTGTGTGAGAGAGCGCTCGATAGATCTAGGCTTTTGTGCCTGTGACTTAGCTGCAAGATCTATTTTGAATTATTTTAGTTAGCAGCTTTCCATTATGCAAGGCGTCTTGATAACGTTAGATGTTCTTACTCAGAGGGCTGGCAGCATAATAGTCAGGGAAATGGATGTAGGAAGTTGAACTATTCCATTACGAATGTTGCCTCACCTTATAGCCTAAACAGTAGGCCAGATGTAGAACGGATGTTTAGGCAATGGGGTCCTATTGGATGACATTCTGTAGGACCACATACCTCCTACTACTACAATAGTGCATAGTTTGTGTTGCCATAGCAGCAGTACTGCAGTAGTGTGTGGTTAACCTCCAGAGGGGTAAGGTGGTAACTTGATATGTGCAGGTTGGAGGGTCACTGCCCTAGCCTTGCTGTCCACCTGCTGCTCTGTCTCTTAACTAAGGCATTATTTCAATGCTTTGAAGTTCCTAACTTGGTGCAAGTCTTAGCAGACTCAATACAATTCAGAGTCTAACCTACCTTCATAAGAGTACAACACATCTGTTGCCACTCCCAGGTCAACAGATTAATCAGTTACTACATTATTAATGCTATTTCTCACATATTAATAGGTATCCTAATTGTAGCATTATCTATCCTTATTGAGAAATCTTCAAAGGACAACACAAACATTTCCGGATTATGGCAAGGTCACTCTTTCATTGTCAATCTGGTAATAACGGGTGGGCTAGACCCTTGTAGCATATTTAGCTATTAGCTAATTGAGTAGTCTGTCCTGTAGGAGGGCTGATCAACACCCTAATCCTTTCTGTTTATGCACTAATCCTGCCCAAGACTCATGAGTTGTGCTTGATGAGGACAGAGCTATAGGCTAGGCCTGATTGGTTGGTAAACCCTGGCAAACACACATTAACACAGCAGAGCACTAGTGGTGGGAATGTGAGGAATTTAGAAATATGTAATTGTGTTTTAAATGAATGTAATGGGCCCATTTTAAGAACTGCTTAGTAAAGCAGTAAGGGTAGAACAACATGTTATTGAGCAAAATAAATAAATAAGTGTACTCTGGCTGACAAGTAGGGGCCTTGGGGTCTTTGTCTGGTGTTGAGAATTGATTTATGCTCTGGTCAGGTGCCTCACACTGTTTGTCTTTCACAAATGTTCCTGCCTGTGTTTCTGCATCGAATATGAGTGCAAATTAATGATACTGGGGTCGTAGATATAGAAGACTGATCGACTTTGCATGTGTGAGGGAGTGAAAGGGAAAGCGAGAGAACTTGTTTTCGTATGGTGGTGACAAATACAGACACAGAGACACTTGAATGTGGCCTGGCTTGTGACAGAGTATTTTTAGTATAGAACTCACTGTGACGGGGTGTGGGGGGGGTGGGGATTCTGCTTGTTGTCATAACAGACTGTCTACATTGATATAAGATCATTTGAATGTCGAGGACAGACCATTCAGCACGTCTATTCTCACCATTAATCCATTGTAAACAATAAGCCTTGGCAGTGCCACCCATGATGTTGAAGGTAAACCAATTATACCAAATGAACAAATCAATATAAGAAGCCAGTTTTTTGAAAAGTCATGTCCACAAAATAAAAAATGGACCAGTGTAACAACCCTCCCTCCTGGCTTTAAATGCATACGGTACAAAGCTATTTTTGCACTAATTTATCTTTCTCCTCTCTCTTAACAGGGTCCTTTTTTGAGGGGCACCTTTTTTCTCCCTCGCCCCTTTTTCCTGTCTTTTATTTCTGGTTTATTTATTTTGGTGCTGCGACTCAGAGAGCATTGTCATCTCAGAGGCTGAGCACAACTACGTCGATGGTTTGGGGTCAGCCGGTGCCCACTGACAGACAGAAAGGCCCTGTGGGTTTCACAGCACACATAGAGGAAACATGAGCACAGCCAAGCCCAGCGGGCTCAAAGCACCCAGCAAGATAGGCAGGCCAACGGGGGCGCCAGCCACCAAGACCTCCCCTTCCACTGGTAAGAGCTCCTCCTCCTCGGCACCAGCAGTTCACATTTCCTGGCTGTTTCTCATTCCGGCTGTGGGAGCTACAGCACTTAACCTCTGGCTTTGATGTCATCAATCAGCTTACGGTTGCAATAAAAGGGGCTTTACTACTTCATCAGTCTGGATCTGCTGACTAGATTTGATGTAGACCTTATGCTGATCAGTCACTGGCCATTTTGGATCCGTAGGCTATAGTATTTACCCCCAAAATCTCCAATATGGTGGATTACCTATATTTTTCAGTAGGAGAAATTGGGTGAATTGAGGCCACTAGAGGCTTTAGACACGGCGGTCTTTATCTTGCTGTGTGAAATGTGATCCCTGTGCTACTATTTTCTTTAAAAGCGTTGACAGTCAGAGGTCATGTGAAAATGCGACTGTGAAGTTTGACCTCATGATGTCATCCAATAAACAATTATTTGTACATTGCTCAGCTGATAACATACAGTGAGGGGAAAAAAGTATTTGATCCCCTGCTGATTTTGTATGTTTGCCCACTGACAAAGAAATGATCAGTCTATAATTTTAATGGTAGGTTTATTTGAACAGTGAGAGACAGAATAACAATAAAAAAATCCAAAAAAAACGCATGTAAATTTTTTTATGAATTGATTTGCATTTTAATGAGGGAAATAAGTATTTGACCCCCTATCAATCAGAAAGATTTCTGGCTCCCAGGTGTCTTTTATACAGGTAAAGAGCTGAGATTAGGAGCACACTCTTAAAGGGAGTGCTCCTAATCTCAGTTTGTTACCTGTATAAAAGACACCTGTCCACAGAAGCAATCAATCAATCAGATTCCAAACTCTCCACCATGGCCAAGATCAAAGAGCTCTCCAAGGATGTCAGGGACAAGATTGTAGACCTACACAAGGCTGGAATGGGCTACAAGACCATCGCCAAGCAGCTTGGTGAGAAGGTGACAACAGTTGGTGCGATTATTCGCAAATGGAAGAAACACAAAATAACTGTCAATCTCCCTCGGCCTGGGGCTCCATGCAAGATCTCACCTTGTGGAGTTGCAATGATCATGAGAACGGTGAGGAATCAGCCCAGAACTACACGGGAGGATCTTGTCAATGATCTCAAGGCAGTTGGGACCATAGTCACCAAGAAAACAATTGGTAACACACTACGCCGTGAAGGACCGAAATCCTGCAGCGCCCGCAAGGTCCCCCTGCTCAAGAAAGCACATATACAGGGCCGTCTGAAGTTTGCCAATGAACATCTGAAAGATTCAGAGGAGAACTGGGTGAAAGTGCTGTGGTCAGATGAGACCAAAATCGAGCTCTTTGGCATCAACTCAACTCGCTGTGTTTGGAGGAGGAGGAATGCTGCCTATGACCCCAAGAACACCATCCCCACCGTCAAACATGGAGGTGGAAACATTATGCTTTGGGGGTGTTTTTCTGCTAAGGGGACAGGACAACTTCACCGCATCAAAGGGACGATGGACGGGGCCATGTACCGTCAAATCTTGGGTGAGAACCTCCTTCCCTCAGCCAGGGCCTTGAAAATGGGTCGTGGATGGGTATTCCAGCATGACAATGACCCAAAACACATGGCCAAGGCAACAAAGGAGTGGCTCAAGAAGAAGCACATTAAGGTCCTGGAGTGGCCTAGCCAGTCTCCAGACCTTAATCCCATAGAAAATCCGTGGAGGGAGCTGAAGGTTCGAGTTGCCAAACGTCAGCCTCGAAACCTTAATGACTTGGAGAAGATCTGCAAAGAGGAGTGGAACAAAATCCCTCCTGAGATGTGTGCAAACCTGGTGGCCAACTACAAGAAACGTCTGACCTCTGTGATTGCCAACAAGGGTTTTGCCACCAAGTACTAAGTCATGTTTTGCAGAGGGGTCAAATACTTATTTCCCTCATTAAAATGCAAATCAATTTATAACATTTTTGACATGCGTTTTTCTGGATTATTCTGTTGTTATTCTGTCTCTTACTGTTCAAATAAACCTACCATTAAAATTATAGACTGATCTTGTCTTTGTCAGTGGGCAAACGTACAAAATCAGCAGGGGATCAAATACTTTTTTCCCTCACTGTATGACCAAGTTTATTTGTATATAGAATACCAGGCAACAGTAATTGTTGACGGTATGTAACATAGGGCACACTACGGTGAGAGAGTTAGGAAGTATTGAATAACAAGGTGAAGGTGTCATGTTCTGTGTGCTAACTCCTTTATGTTAGACCTGTTAGCTCAGTTATCCATGGACCAACTTTAGTGGAGTTGGCACACTGGCAGTAATTGGATGTTTTCTACCCGTTTCCCTGCAGCCGGACCCAAAGTAGCCGCAGCCGACAAGTCCACTCCAGGTGGCGGTGCAGTGGGGACGCAAGATGGCGGCGAGAACTTCCAGGTCGGGGAGCGGGTGTGGGTGAATGGGAACAAACCTGGCGTGGTGCAGTTCCTCGGGGAGGCTCAGTTTGCACCAGGACAGTGGGCTGGCATTGTGTTGGATGAGCCCATTGGGAAGAACGATGGCTCGGTGGCAGGGGTGCGTTACTTCCAGTGCGAGGTCTTAAAGGGGATATTCACTCGCCCCTCCAAGCTGTCCTACACAGAGGGCGAGGCCAACGGGACTCAGACAGCACCTCCGTCTCGGGCTGGGTCACCCACCCCCTCCACCGCCAGCCTGGCCTCTCACACCCCCTCTGTCAAGAAGGCCTCAACTGCAACGCCCACTACGCCAGCCTCCAACCTGGCACGCACAAACAGCGAGTCTATCTCCAACCTCTCAGACACCGGCTCGGTGAAGAAGGGGGAGAGGGAGCTGAAGAATGGAGACCGTGTTTTGGTAAGGCTTAGTTCATTAACACTTTGAAAGCAGCGGTTATTTTGGATCAGGCAGCTTTTATCCCGAAGCCTGGTTCATTCCGTTCGGTTAATAGGTGTGAAAGCTTATTTTTCTGCACCTGCCCGCTAGTTAATCTATGCAAGTTGGTCTCAAATGTTCCCCTTTTCCCCTGGGCAAGCCCCAGCCCCACCCCCTCCTCTTGCCCCTTGTGTGGTGACATTGCCGTAAATATAGGCTGGTCTCAGAGTCACATGACTGACCCCTCTCACCATGGTAATCACTCAGGAACGTGTCTACAGAACAAAATCTCCACCCACCTCACTCCCAACTTCTCACTGACCAATGAGAACGTACGTTCTAACACGCCTCCGTGAGCTCAGTGTCTGTGTATAGTCACTCGGTTCACAGCCAAGCTCTGTCCTCTTATGAGCACCTTCCTTCCTGAGTGTTGTCCAAGGCCCCTTTTTCTCTCTCTCTCTGTCAGCCTCAGGCTGTGTAACACATTGTATGGAGAGGAAGTGTGTCACCCACGCTCAGAGGAAATGTGACAGGGACTAACCACAAAAAGACCATATATAGTAGCAAACTAAAACTAACTGGTCTGTGGAGATACAAGATCAGATATTCACAATGGATAGGTTCACTTGAAGCGAGGGGGCTTTTCTCACTTCTCCCTTTAAATGCTATGCATTTATCGGCTCTGCGATGTTGACAGGTTGCATGTATTGAATATTATTATTATTATGTACCGTTGCCTTAGTGGTTTTATCTCAAGCCAAGCTAGTTACCCTCTAGGCGCTTTGAGAGTCTTTCTGTAATGAAAAGTGCTCTATAAGTTAAATTATTATTGTTATTATTTTTATTAGTCTTTTCTGAACTCTTTCTTTGTACTGTCTCTGCAGGTTGGTGGCACAAAAGCTGGTGTGGTTCGCTTTCTTGGTGAAACAGACTTTGCCAAGGGAGAGTGGTGTGGTGTGGAACTGGATGAGCCCCTGGGAAAGAACGATGGGGCAGTGGCAGGAACCAGGTAATCAGACCAGAGAGGATTATCACACCGGCTTGAGAAAGATGTCACTCTCTGGCAACCAATTTGCATAAAAGAGAGTTAAGCACAGCCAAGTCTTATGGGTGTTATTCATATATTGTAAAAAATATATGTAAGACATGTTTTCTGTCTTATCCCCTTCATTTGTGTTTCCCCAGATACTTTCAGTGTCAACCCAAGTATGGCCTGTTTGCCCCGGTCCACAAGGTCACGCGCATCGGCTTCCCCTCCACCACGCCGGCCAAGGCAAAGACCACGGTGCGAAAGGTGGTGGCCACGCCCTCAGGCCTGAAGCGCAGCCCCAGCACCTCCTCCATCAGCTCCATGAGCTCTGTGGCCTCCTCCGTCAGCGCCAAGCCCAGCCGCACAGGCCTGGTGAGACATGCACACACACACACACTCAGACACACACGCACACATAAGTGCACCCACATACACACCTGCAGTGCAAACAAGATGTCTGTTCTTTAATTTGGTCTTGTCAAGTAGAACTCCATCCCCCCCATTCACCAGTCTTAAACACTCTTCTCCTGCCCCCCACCACAGCTGACAGAAACGTCATCACGGTACTCGAGGAAGATCTCTGGCACCACAGCAGTTCAGGAGGTGCTGAAGGAGAAGCAGCAGCACATCGAGCAGCTGATGGCCGAGCGGGACATGGAGAGGGCAGAGGTGGCCAAGGCAACCACCCATGTAGGCGAGGTAGAGCAGGAATTGACCCTGCTGAGGGAGGATCAGGAACAGGTCAATACACACTCCCCCTTATGGCTTATGCATACACACACACACTTCCCCCCTTATGGTTTACACACACACACACACGTTCCCCCTCATGGTTTACACACACACATGCACACGCACACACACACACACAGCATACAAGATTCGCCCTCAGGATTATTTACACACACATTCCCCACAGATGAGATCCAGGACGTTCCAGTATTGGAACTCTCATTAGCAAAAGTGTATTATGTCATACATGACAATAACAAACCTGGCACCATGAAAACCCCTTAGTGCTGTACCTCAATCACACACTCATGTCACATAAACCTCTGTACTGCCATCTGCTGTCAATGCTCAACACTGTACATTCCAAAACATTATTGTGTTTTTACAGCCAGCTGCCGGATGCACAGCGGCCTTCGATATGAATGTTGTTTTTTCTTGAGTGTCTCAGGACCTATATTCATGACCTGTTTAATGCATATTCGTGTGTATCGTGTGAAGATGGAGACCAAGATGGACCAATTACGCACCCTGGTGGAGGCTGCTGACAAGGAGAAGGTTGAGTTGCTCAATCAGCTGGAGGAGGAGAAGAGGTGAGGCTTCAGAGGGGTGCGGGGTGACAGGAGACCTGGGGGCATGGGGTCTTACTATGGGTATAACTATGTTCTGATGGTGGAATGATGTGTTTCTAAGATTATCAGCACAGTATCACAAAAGGAAAATGGGGGGAAAAGGACAGATTAAGTATGCGTATCCAATCTCCACAGTGGAGTGTTGAATTTAGAACCTGGAATATGATTCCATTTTCAGATTTGAAACGCTGTTTCAGACCCTTGATCCATGATTCCTTTTCAGACCTCTTGTGTTCAATGTTCCTGAACTATAATATGGACTGTGCTCTGTGTGATAGAAAGGTGGAGGACCTTCAGTTTCGCGTGGAGGAAGCTTGCATTACCAAAGGAGATCTGGAGGTAAACACACTGTTCTACACACAGTCAAAAAATATGTATACGGCTTTCCTTTGTATGCACAGAGTAGAATCTTTGATTCACATGCCCCTATCAAGTCAAAATCTGCCTCTAATTGACTGGAATTAATCAATTTGATGCTGACGTGTATCAGAAATACACCAACACTGCAGCTCATCAGGACTGCAGTTGAAACACCCTGTCTTGTCAAACTGAGACATTTCAAGGTAGAAGCGTTCTGATGACAATGCAGACTGGAGTTCATCTCTGGAATTAAGTCACTCTGCAACATCCCTGCTCCCGATCCCTGAGATTAGAGTGGTGCAGAATGTGCATTATAGATTCTAACGTAAGGAATTAATATATCTTATCGAAGGTCCCTATTTGACTACTCTGTATGCATTAGATCAACAGTTTGTCCTCCGGCTTGCGATTTTAAGTTGGCAGGGTAGTGATTGGTGTACTTATCAGTGACATCTCCTTAGTCTAGTATGCAAAGGACTGAGCATTAAATATTCTACATAGACCAGAGATCCGTCCTTCCCAGTGCCCACAGCCATCTCATTTGCCCTGTAAAATGAGACTCCGACTAAAATCAAATTCTCTCTATGGTGCTGATGGCACTCACAAGTGACAGCAAGGTAATCCATTCCCACATGGAGCAGGGTTGTGTCAGAATCAGATCTGACTGAGCCTGGCTCTCATGCGCTTCTAGTATCCATGAAGTCATGCTACTGCGCATTGTAGAGGATCAGCCTGAGCATGGCACTGTGCAGACTCACTGATCTACAAATAACCCCACAAACTACTATTCCAAATTTGCGCAGTGCCTTTCTCAGGCCGATCTTCACAAATCTGGAGTTCTTCCTCATTTCATGACTATGTACCGTATTTTCCGCACTATAAGGCACACCGGATTATAAGGCGCACCTTCAATGAATGGCCTATTTTAGAACTGTTTTCATATATAGGGCGCACCGGATTATAAGGTGCATAGAATAGAAGATACTGCAGTCAAACGTTTGACTGGGGTTGCGTTATGCATCCACTAGATGGAGCTGTGCTAAAGGGAATGTCAACAAAACAGTCAGATAAAGTCAAACTTCATTAAGCGTTCTGACAACAATTTTGGGGTCTTTATACACACACAAGTGGTGTGGGACTGTGAGTAAGCACAGTACCGGTGTTTACTGACTACGGTAGCCGTAATGCTGCAAGCGGTGCGGCTTTGTAGTTTACCAGTCGTACTGAAACATTTCATTATTATTAAATAGTTTTTATTGGTTTTTCATACTGAAACATTTTGACAGAGGGCCTTGAGCGCCGTGTACAACCAGTATGGATCAACCAATTAACCAATTGATCCATATATAAGGCGCTCCGGATTATAAGGCGCACTGTCGTTTTTGGAGAAAATTAAAGGCTTTTAAGTGCGCCTTATAGTGCGGAAAATACGGTAACATGTAGAAATCCACATAATGGATTCACATAACTTGAATGTTCCCAAAGTGTTTTGGAACATAGTTTGCTTGAAATAAACACCTGAGCCGAGGATCAATTTAGGAATTTGTTGGTGTTTATTTCTTTCCTGCATCCCTCTCGTTAAGAAATACCAGTGGCACATCAGACAAAGGTTAGCACAGTGTTGTTCACCAACACCTCTCTAGTTCTATTTGATGGGAATGAGGAAAGGTGGGCAATATTTGGGAAAACGACTATCTATTTCTGCCTCTCCCTTGGCAACCCATATCTTTGTTTACGGAGCAGAGACTCGGAGGCAAGTGGGCTCAGGGTGGCTGGCTGTTTAACATGAACACGTCTGGTCAAAAGATTTGTCATTATCTATCCCACAGTGCCACTACAATCGGGACCATCCCAATTACCTCGAAGGCGTTCCACTACAAGTGTTATCATTATAAATGAGTGCCACAGGGTTAGAAGTAATACCCCTTTTTATCTTCCTTTGTTTGTGTACTAACGGTCTGTGTACTAATTACTGCAACAAATGTATTAAGCGCATGCATGCAGCTTTTAAAAACAAACGTACAAAAAAAACGAAAACCAAACCAACACGGCAAATGCTTTGTGTTGATTTCAAGCAGTTGACGGTGTACTAATGTTGTCCTGTAACTGCTTCAGTCAGTGATGTTACTGCTGCTTTTTCTTCTCCTCCTCCTCCTTCATGTTGGCCCAGTGCTAAGCATGGAACCACTGGAGATGCTCCCCTCCACCATCTCACAACCTAGTCACAGGCTTGAGCTCTAACCTGCCCATTTCAATCTGTTGAAATCAGAAGTAAATGTCTCGTCCATTTAGATTTTCACTAATTTGCTGGCTCACTCACTCAGTTCACACATACCTCTATGCATTCCTTCATAGTCTGTCCCTGTTCACCAGGTCATTCTGCATGGATTCCTCTAATCACAACCAACAACTGGATACCCATAAGCATAACACATCACCCATTTCCCTTGTTCCTTCTCCCATATTCTCATATCACCTTCCTTCAGCAACATCCCCAATGCTCACCTGTGCTAGGCATGGGGTCTGCATGGGGTACCCATCCCCTCCCCTCCCCTCCCCACGCCACCTCCCATCCCCACTCCACCTCCCTCCACACCCTCCCTCTTCCTCTCTGTGTTGGGCTGGCATGTGATAGTGGCACTGGTTGTGTTCTCTTCCTCTCCCTTCTTTACTAACAGACGCAGACCAAACTGGAGCATGCCCACATTAAGGAGCTTGAACAGAGCCTGCTCTTTGAAAAGACCAAAGCTGAGAAACTCCAGAGAGAGTTAGAAGACACTAGGGTAATGGATCTTGCTCTACACAGTTCTGCGTTTGGAAAGAGGGGTGGAGTGGGGATGGGGCCAGGGTAATGTTGAAAATCTGGGGATGGGGCCAGGGTAATGTTGAAAATCTGGGGATGGGGTACAAGGGGTTACAAAGGATCTTCAGATACCTGTAGCACTGGCTTCCATATGCTGTTTTTCTCACCTTTTCTGCCATAGAATGTTGGGAATGGTAGGAGTCAATATTTACAGTGCCTTCAAAAAGTATTCACACCCCTTGACTTTTCCCACACGTTGTTGTGTTACAGCCTGAATTTAAAATTGATTAAATTTAGATTTTTTTGTCACTGGCCTACACACAATAACCATATAATGTCAAAGTTTTGAGAAATTTTTACAAATTAATTAAAAATGAAAAGCTGAAATGTCTTGAGTCAATAAGTATTCAACCCCTTTGTTATGGCAAGCCTAAATAAGTTCAGGAGTAAAAAAAAATTCTTAACAAGTCACAAGTTGCATGGACTCACTCTGTGTGCAATTATAGTGTTTAACGTGATTTTTGAATGACTACCTCATATCTGTATCCCACACATACAATTATCTGTAAGGTCCCTCAGTTGAGCAGTGAATTTCAAATACAGATTCAACCACAAAGACCAGGGAGGTTTTCCAATGCCTCGCAAAGAAGGGTGTTTTAAATTGATGTATTGACTTATAATGTTCTGTACTATGTATTATGTCATGTTTCATGTGGACCCCAGGAAGAGTAGCTATGCATCCTGTTTGCAATAAGGCACTAAAAAAATGTGGCAAATACCACTCTTCATATTTTCAAGCATGGTGGTGGCTACATCATGTTATGGGTATGCTTGTCATCGGCAAGGACTAGGGAGTTTTTTTGGGATAAAAAGAAACGGAATAGAGCTAAGCACAGGGAAATCCTAGAGGAAAACTTGGTTTAGTCTGCTTTCCAACAGACCCTGGGAGACAAATTCACCTTTCAGCAGGACAATAACCTAAAACACATGGCCAAATATACCAAGACGACATTGAATGTTCCTGAGTGGCCTAGTTACAGTTTTGACTTAAATCGGCTTAAACATCTATGGCTAGACTTATAAATGGCTGTCTAGCAATGATCAACAACCAACTTGACAGAGTTTGAAGAATTTTTTTAAGGATAATGTGCAAATATTGTACAATCCAGGTGTGCAAAACTCTTAGACTTACCCAGAAAGACTGACAGCTGTAATCGCTGACTCAGGGGTGTGAATACTTTATGTAAATTAGATTTCTGTATTTAATTTTCAATACATTTGCAAAAATGTCTAAAAACATGTTTTTACTGTCATTATGGGGTATTGTGTGTACAGTCGTGGTCAAAAGTTGGTCTTCACAAAGTTTGCTGCTTCAGTGTTTTTAGATATTTTTGTCAGATGTTACTATGGTATACTGAAGTATAATTACAAACATTCCATAAGTGTCAAAGGCTTTTATTGACAATTACATTAAGTTTATGCAAAGAGTCAATATTTGCAGTGTTGACCCTTCTTTTTCAAGACCTCTGCAATCCGCCCTGGCATGCTGTCAATTAACTTCTGGGCCACATCCTGACTGATGGCAGCCCATTCTTGCATAATCAATGTTTGGAGTTTGTTAGAATTTGTGGGTTTTTGTTTGTCCACCCGCCTCTTGAGGATCGACCACTAGTTCTCAATGGGATTAAGGTCTGGGGAGTTTCCTGGCCATGGACCCAAAATGTCGATGTTTTGTTCCTCGAGCCACTTAGTTATCACTTTTGCCTTATGGCAAGGTGCTCCATCATGCTGGAAAAGGCATTGTTCGTCACCAAACTGTTCTTGGATGGTTGGGAGAAGTTGCTCTCGGAGGATGTGTTGGTATCATTCTTTATTCATGGCTGTGTTCTTAGGCAAAATTGTGAGTGAGCCCACTCCCTTGGCTGAGAAGCAACCCCACACATGAATGGTCTCAGGATGCTTTACTGTTGGCATGACACAGGACTGATGGTAGCCCTCACCTTGTCTTCTCCGGACAAGCTTTTTTCCGGATGCCCCAATCAATCGGAAAGGGGATTCATCAGATAAAATGACTTTACCTCAGTCCTCAGCAGTCCAATCCCTGTACCTTTTGCAGAATATCAGTCTGTCCCTGATGTTTTTCCTGGAGAGAAGTGGCTTCCTCGCTGCCCTTCTTGACACCAGGCCATCCTCCAAAAGTCTTCGCCTCACTGTGGTGCAGATGCACTCACACCTGCCTGCTGCCATTCCTGAGCAAGCTCTGCACTGGTGGTGCCTCGATCCCGCAGCTGAATCAACTTTAGGAGACAGTCCTGGTGCTTGCTGGACTTTCTTGGGCGCCCTGAAGCCTTCTTCACTACAATTGAACCTCTCTCCTTGAAGTTCTTGATGATCCGATAAATGGTTGATTTAGGTGCAATCTTACTAGCAGCAATATCCTTGCCTGTGAAGCCCTTTTTGTGCAAAGCAATGATGACGGCACGTGTTTCCTTGCAGGTAACCATGGTTAACAGAGGAAGAACAATGATTTCAAGCACCACCCTCCTTTTAAAACTTCCAGTCTGTTATTCTAACTCAATCAGCATGACAGAGTGATCTCCAGCCTTGTCCTTGTCAACACTCTCACCTGCGTTAACGAGAGAATCACTGACATGATGTCAGCTGGTCCTTTTGTGGCAGCGCTGAAATGCAGTGGAAATGTTTTTTTGGGATTAAGTTCATTTTCATGGCAAAGAGGGACTGCAATTAATTGCAATTCATCTGATCACTCTTCATAACATTCTGGAGTATATGCAAATTGCCATCATGAAAACTGAGGCAGCAGACTTTGTGAAAATTCATATTTGTGTCATTCTCAAAACTTTTGACCATGACTGTAGGGCTGGAACAACAACATGTGGAATAAGTAAAGGGGTATGAATACTTTCTGAAGGCACTTGAATGTCACAAAGCAAACGTTGAATGGTGTAGTTGACTAATCTTTTTACTTGCTAGCAACTAATATTACTAATATTATCTCTTGGCCTTATCTGTAATTCCAAGAACCAATTTCAACGTTGCTTTATAATATGCAGCATCTTATGCAGGCTTTCATTTTCTTCCCATTTTGTCAAACATGAACCATTCACATTCCTGTGTGTCACCAGTACAGGAGTCTTAACCACATGACTGCTGTCACTTAAAACATTTGAAAACCTCAGGGTAAATTTTTTTTACTATACTTTCAATACTATACAACCATTCTGTTATTTTTAGATTAGGTTTTAGCCAGGGAACGGCAAGGCCGTATTATTATTTTGCCTCTTCTCCATGTGTTCCTCTGCTCACAGTTAGCACACAGTCTCCAAGACTTTGCTGGTAGCACATGGTAGCCAGACAGCACCCCTATATACAACCATCCCTTATTCCCAGTGGTCCTTTGTCCCATCACCCCACCCCAATCCTACAATCCCCAATTGTCCTGCTCCTGGGATCCCCCGCCTCTTGCAAGTCTCTCTCCTACTCCCACCCCTTAGCAATTATTATGTGCTTCCCTCAGGGGTGTCAGCCAATGCAGGGGTATTCAACTGCCATTCTCAAGAGCCGTAGGCTACTGGTTTTCTTTTCCCCCGGTACTTAATTATAGGTTGATGTCATTAGTTGGTGAGAGAGTCTATCTGGTTTTATTCGGGTCTAAATCGACCTCTGATAAAAAGGTAAGGATGAAAACCAATAGAAGCTGCAGCACTTGGGGTATAGTTCGATACACAAAAATAATGTGGTTCCATTTTATATCCACTAGAGGGCAGTGTAATACTTCAACTGTAGGCATCCTATGCAAAAGTGGGACTGCACTGTTACTTGCTTTGCGCTACTACTGCAGCTATGGTGAACATCTCTTTGTATAGGACCCTCTTTGAAAAATATTGCCCCCTTCCCTTAGACCTGTCTGATGACAGGGGGATTCAACAGCTACCCTCTTTTCCAGTCACTACATGCACAATCACAATGTTTCCAAAGGTTGAAGAACACAGTTTTGTTTGAGCCAGAGTTGTGCCGTCCCATAGGTGGCCACAGTTTCAGAGAAGTCCCGCATCATGGAGCTGGAGAGGGACCTGGTGCTGAGGACCAGGGAGGTGGATGACCTGCGGCTGCGTCTGGAGGCCCAGCAAGGGTCAGAGGGCTCAGACTCCACCACCTCCCCTCTCCTGGAGGAGGTGAGCTCTCTGAGGACTCAGCTGGCTTCTCAGGAAGACCAGCAACGGGTTGAGCTTGCCGGGATGAGGGAGAAGCTGGCAGCAGAGGAGAAGGTCCACAGTGAGGCAGTGGCCCAGCTCCAAGTCTCATCCACCAAGATTTCCACTGACAACGAGCAGTTGAAGCTGCGCGTCAGCCAGAACGAGAAGGAGAATGCAGACATCATAGAGCTGTGGAGCTCCAAGCTGGAATCTACCATTGCCTCACACCAGCAGGCCATGGAGGAGCTGAAGGTGTCCTTCAGCAAAGGGGCCGGCTCCCAGGTGACAGAGCTGGTGGAGACCAAGAGTGCCCTGGAGAGGCTGAAGGTGGAGCACAAGCAGGCACTGGAAGAGGCTGGGGCCAGGTGTGAGGCAGAGGCTAAAGCCCGGGCACAGGAGACGGGGGAGCTCAACAAACAGCTGCTGGTCGTGTCAGAGGAGAAGGAACGCCTGGAGGAGAGCCTCCGGTCCAGCATGGAGAGTGCTGAGGAGCAGCACCTGGTGGAGATGGAGGATGTGCTAGTCAAACTGCACACTGCTGAGCTGAAGGTAAAGGAACTGGAGGAGCAGGAGGCTAAACTAGTCCAGCAGACCCAGGACAGGGCCAAGGAGGTCCAGGAGCAGGTGGCAGCTATGGAGGCCCTGCGCTCCCAGGCAGGCCAAGGTAACCAAGAGCTCCAGAGTCTGAGGACCCAGCTGGAGGAGGCCCAGAGACAAGCTTGCTCACAGGGCAACAAGGTAGGTCCATACCCATACCATCCTCCCATTGTCCATGAACATATCCGGTTTCTATTTTACGTCCATGTGAGTTTCCAGAAATATAGGCATGAAATACAACTGGTATGTCATGTTATGATTTATCCTTACCTTCAAAGTCATTACTTTGTTTTAATTGGATTCATTTTTAGCTTGTCCTTCATATTCATAATGTCAGTCATTATTTTTTTCCCCCTTCAAAATGTCCTCCATGTCCATGGTGTCACCCCCTGGCCTGTGGCTGTAGGTCATTGAATTGAGCTCTGAGCTGGAGGGCAAGCAGCAGGAACTTCTCACCTTGCAGCGGAGCCTGACCTCTGTGCAGCAGAACACAGGCTCTCTGGAGCAAGAGCTGGGCAACCTGGTGAGTACTAGGGCTTATGTGGGCTGGTGAGGAGCCAGGGAATGGGAGTGGGTGACCTTGCATGACTGATGGGACTGTAGGGCTTAAGGTAAGCTCAGGTAAGGAAGAGCATAGTATTGAAATGCTAGCTTTTTGTTTTCATGGGAATGATACAAATTACCTACCTATATGTAGACCTTCAATTATACAGTTATGATACCATCAAAGATAATCTGTAATTACAGATTAAATAACTTGTGTATAACATTATTAATTGGCAATCATTTTTAGGTTTGTCATGGAATAATTTTCAGACTAAAGCATGCACAAATGTATTCATCAAAGTTTTATTTCCTCAGAAACAAAAACTGTCAGAAAGCACAGACGATCAGACTAAGTCAACACAAACTATGCAAGGTAAATATATTTACTTTGACCATGTTGGTTCTGTAACGTTAGTCTTTGTTTTCTTATTACTTGGGTTACATGGGTTTTTATCAGCAAGACGTATCATATTCCTAGAGACAAAATGTTGACTTCAAGCTAATTTAATGACTAACAATGATGTGGTTTTACATAAATAATGTATTATATTGGTCCACAGGGCCAGGCAGTACACAGTAGATTAATGTATACAGTACATGTATTTGTGCTGCATGGTGCTAAGAGCTTGAGTGATGCAAGCTGATAGTGTCAGTCTAAATTCTCTCTTTCAGAGTTGCTTCAGAAGCTTGGCAAAAAAGAAGAGCAGTGCACATCGCTCTCCACCGAATCAGAGGCTCTTAGAAGCCAACTTGCAGGTCAGAACACTGGCCAGCACTGTGATTCTTAACCTACAGTACACACAGCTCCATGTGACCATTCTTCCTACATACATTCAGTGGTGTAACCTACACAAGGGGTCTCCAAACCTGCAGTTTTTTGTTGTAGTGTTTCTGGTAGATAAACCAGGTTGTTATGACTGAATCAATGTCTGAATCAATAGGGCAACTGAAACTTGCTTTGAGAAAGTTATCCCTGACCAACGGCACTAAATATCACCAATGTTTTACTAAAATAATCACTATAGAAAGTCATAGTTAGTCATAATGTTGATACGGTGTAACAAATTGGCTGTGTACAGTATGTTTGCTTGTTAGGGCTGGGAATTGCCAGGGACCTCACAATACGATATTATTGCGATACTTAGGTGCCGATAACGATATGTATTGCGATTCTCACGATTCTATATGTATTGCGATTCAATACTGCGATTTCTATTGCGATTTGATGTTCCAAACATATTGCTCACTATATTTCTGCTGCAGAGACGAGAGAGCATGAGAAAATGAGTTTTGATCAGTCATGGAAATAAGTGCTGAAAACATATTGGTTCTCTATAGGATAAAAATTACGGCGCAGGTACAGCCGACGACTAGTGCTAGCTAACACTACCTAGTGTCGTGATGTGATTTACTTTAATGTATGACTGTTATTTATCGAATCACCTATGTTTAATTGTCACTCGATTAAATTAATAATGTTACAATTAACTCATTAGGAATTTGGGGCACCACGAAATAAGTTGTTTAATGAGTTACCATCTCTCGAATTAAACTCTTAGAAGATATACACTGCTCAAAAAAATAAAGGGAACACATAAACAACACATCCTAAATCTGAATGAATGAAATAATCTTATTAAATACTTTTTTCTTTACATAGTTGAATGTGCTGACAACAAAATCACACAAAAATTATCAATGGAAATCAAATGTATCAACCCATGGAGGTCTGGATTTGGAGTCACTCTCAAATTTAAAGTGGAAAACCACACTACAGGCTGATCCAACTTTGATGTAATGTCCTTTAAAACAATTCAAAATGAGGCTCAGTAGTGTGTGTGGCCTCCACGTGCCTGTATGACCCTCCCTACAATGCCTGGGCATGCTCCTGATGAGGTGGCAGATGGTCTCCTGAGGGATCTCCTCCCAGACCTGGACTAAAGCATCTGCCAACTCCTGGACAGTCTGTGGTGCAACGTGGCGTTGGTGGATGGAGCGAGACATGATGTCCCAGATGTGCTCAATTGGATTCAGGTCTGGGGAACGGGTGGGCCAGTCCATAGCATCAATGCCTTCCTCTTGCAGGAACTGCTGACACACTCCAGCCACATGAGGTCTAGCATTGTCTTGCATTAGGAGGAACCCAGGGCCAACCGCACCAGCATATGGTCTCACAAGGGGTCTGAGGATCTCATCTCGGTACCTAATGGCAGTCAGGCTACCTTTGGCGAGCACATGGAGGGCTGTGCGGCCCACCAAAGAAATGCCACCCCACACCATGACTGACCCACCGCCAAACCGGTCATGCTGGAGGATGTTGCAGGCAGCAGAACGTTCTCCACGGCGTCTCCAGACTCTGTCACGTCTGTCACTGTCACGCCCTGGCTCTGGGGACTCTAGTATGTTGAGCCAGGGTGTGAGTTTTCATTTGTTTGTCATTCTAGTTTAGAATTTCTATGTTGGCCAGTGTGGTTCTCAATCAGAGGCAACGTGTATCAGCTGTTGCTTGTTGTCTCTGATTGAGAACCATACTTAAGCAGCCAGTTTTTTCCACAGTGTTTGTGGGATCTTGTTCCAAGTAGGTTGTGTTTGATCCAAGGACGTCACGTTATCGTTTTGTTGTTTTTGTTCGTGTGATCTTTATTTAATAAATATGTTCGCAAATAACGCTGCGCATTGGTCCTCTGTTCCCGACGATCGTGACAGAAGATCCCACCAAAACTGGACCAAGCAGCGTGTCCAGGAGCCATCGCCAGGGGAATCGCTAGCGGATCTCCGTGGCAACCTCGACTGGGTCAAGCCTAGTGAAGAGCGGAGAGGGTGGACTTGGGAGCAGTGGAGGAAGAGTCTCGACTGGGTCAAGCCAAGTGAAGAGCAGAGAGGTTGGACATTGGAGCAGTGGAGGAAGAGTCTGGCGAGAGATAGGGAGGCTTGGTCCACGGGGAGGACAGACACCCAGAAATTTTTTAGGGGGGGGCTCACGCCGTGGACGACGGGGCAGCAGGAGGCCGCGATAGAGCGGTCCAGCGGGTTGGCAGAGGAGGCCGCCAGGTTAAGGGGGCCACTGGTCACTAAGGGGAAGGAAAGTGTAGAGGCACGGCGAGAGGTACTGGGGTGTGTTACCAGTCCGGGCCGGCCCGTTCCTGATCCCCGCGTAGGGCCAGTGGTGTGTGTCCCCAGTACGGTCCGGCCTGTTCCTGTCCCTCGCATCGAGCCTGTGGTGCGCGTCGCCAGCCCAGTCCGGCCTGTTCCTGCTCCCCGCATCGAGCCTGTGGTGCGCTTCGCCAGCCCGGTCCGGCCCGTTCCTGCTCCCCGCACCAAGGCAGTGGTGCGCTTCGTCAGCCCGGTCCGGCCCGTTCCTGCTCCCCGCACCAAGTCAGTGGTGCGCTTCGCCAGCCCGGTCCGGCCCGCTCCTGCTCCCCGCACCAAGTCAGTTGTGCGCTTCGTCAGCCCGGCCCGCTCCTGCTCCCCGCACCAAGTCAGTGGTGCGTTTCGTCAGCCCGGTCCGGCCCGCTCCTGCTCCCCGCACCAAGTCAGTGGTGCGCTTCGTCAGCCCGGTCCGGCCCGCTCCTGCTCCCCGCACCAAGTCAGTGGTGCGCTTCGTCAGCCCGGTCCGGCCCGTTCCTGCTCCCCGCACCAAGTCAGTGGTGCGTTTCGTCAGCCCGGCTCGGCCCGTTCCTGCTCCCCACACCAAGCCAGTGGTGTGCGTCGTCGGTCCGGCACAGCCCGTGCCTGTTCCACCGGTGCCTGGTTCGGCACGGGTCAGCTGCTTCACGCCGGAGCTAGAGCAATCCGCTCCACCAGTGTGCAGTCCAGCTCCGGTCAGCAGGGCCAGACCGGACCAGGGGTACTTTGGGGGGTTAGAGAGGGAGTGGGGATCATGCCCGGAGCCGGATCCGCCGCCAAGGCGGAGTGCCCACCCGGTCCCTCCCCTGTGGTGTTTGGTTGGCGCGGTCGGAGTCCGCGCCTTTGGGGAGGGGTACTGTCACACCCTGGCTCTGGGGACTCTAGTATGTTGAGCCAGGGTGTGAGTTTTCATTTGTTTGTCATTCTAGTTTAGAATTTCTATGTTGGCCAGTGTGGTTCTCAATCAGAGGCAACGTGTATCAGCTGTTGCTTGTTGTCTCTGATTGAGAACCATACTTAAGCAGCCAGTTTTTCCCACAGTGTTTGTGGGATCTTGTTCCAAGTAGGTTGTGTTTGATCCAAGGACGTCACGTTATCGTTTTGTTGTTTTTGTTCGTGTGATCTTTATTTAATAAATATGTTCGCAAATAACGCTGCGCATTGGTCCTCTGTTCCCGACGATCGTGACAGTCACATGTGCTCAGTGTGAACCTGCTTTCATCTGTGAAGAGCACAGGGCGCCAGTGGCGAATTTGCCAATCTTGGTGTTCTCTGGCAAATGCCAAACGTCCTGCACGGTGTTGGGCTGTAAGCACAACCCCCATCTGTGGACGTCGGGCCCTCATACCACCCTCATGGAGTCTGTTTCTGACCGTTTGAGCAGACACATGCACATTTGTGGCCTGCTGGAGGTCATTTTGCAGTGCTCCTCCTGCTCCTCCTTGCACAAAGGCGGAGGTAGCGGTCCTGCTGCTGGGTTGTTGCCCTCCTACGGCCTCCTCCACGTCTCCTGATGTACTGGCCTGTCTCCTGGTAGCGCCTCCATGCTCTGGACACTACGCTGACAGAAACAGCAAACCTTCTTGCCACAGCTCGCATTGATGTGCCATCCTGGATGAGCTGCACTACCTGAGCCACTTGTGTGGGTTGTAGACTCCGTCTCATGCTACCACTAGAGTGAAAGCACCGCCAGCATTCAAAAGTGACCAAAACATCAGCCAGGAAGCATAGGAACTGAGAAGTGGTCTGTGGTCCCCACCTGCAGAACCACTTCTTTATTGGGGGTGTCTTGCTAATTGCCTATAATTTCCACCTGTTGTCTATTCCATTTGCACAACAGCATGTGAAATGTATTGTCAATCAGTGTTGCTTCCTAAGTGGACAGTTTGATTTCACAGAAGTGTGATTGACTTGGAGTTACATTGTGTTGTTTAAGTGTTCCCTTTTACTTTTTTGAGCAGTGTATATGTTATATCGATAACCGTCACTTATCAAATAATTACCTCTTATCAGTCTCATTCTTAATGTCGCATAATCCTTGAACCTGCAAGAACCCTAACCTTATTGATGAATCAGCAATACACAAATTGGCTTAATTATTTGTTTACTAACGAACTAAACAATAACACAATACAAACACACACACACAGGTTATTGATTGCTAACGTAATACAATAAAAACAGGTCCCTAGTGGACTGGACTAACAATAGCATGAATGCTTGGGTAGAAGGAGGGTCAGAGTGGAAGGGAGAGACAGAGATTCAAACTATCGTGGTTACTTTGGAGACTACGCTCACAGTAATCATAATACTAATGCACCCTAATAACGCTAATTCGGATTAGAAATGCAACATGTATTTACGTGTAGCTGTCCTCGATAGTTGAGTTGATGACGTAGGGCTCTGGTTTGCCCACCAGAGATCCCAATGTTCTTGGTAGAGTTTATGGTTGTGGCAGTGGTTAGAATGGATACTTCAGATGTACCCACGGTTGTCTGAGAGGGATTGTCCTCTCCTCTTGTGTCTTTACTGAAAGTTCTCTAGACGACTATACATGCCAGCTGCAGACTGAAATGATAAGGTCTAGTGCATTGTCTTCTTCTTCACCTCGTGTAGAGGTTGAGAGTTTCAGAGTTTAACTAACGCCTCACGTTTTCTGATCTTTCTGGTCTAACCATTTTGTAATGTGTAGCTTCAGCTTCACACTTCTTTGTCTTGTAGAAATTCAACCATTTACAACGTTTAGCTCACGCTTCACGTCTGGTGGTCTGAGGTGAATTTCGTCACAAGGCTTTTTATGCACTCGGGGTAAAAGGGGCGTTCCATCATGTTTGTGCTCATCTGGGCGTGGTCACTGACTGAGAACAAATCAATATGGAAAACAATAATCTCATCTAGAATGCTAAAATCACATTGTTATCTTCACAAACGTATTATTATACTTAATCATTTGTTTTATACAACAATTAGATGCAAACCTCATAACTGGGAAGTGTAGCCCCCCAGAGATACAGTTATGTTGTTCCACAATCTTTAATGACATCACAACATAGTAACGAATTTGACATGATTGTTCTTTAAGTCCCCACCAACCATTTCCCACGTTCTTTTAAGTAGGAATATTGTTTCATTATCCACTTTTGGATGTTGGAGTCTTGGCAGGAAGACTTCCTTTGTTAACAAAGGGGTCCTTTCTCCCAATACTTCATGGCAAGGAAGAGAAAGTCTGCACGGTATTTACGACCGGTCATAAAACTGGTCCCCAGGAAATGGGGTGTTCAAACTTTTGCCATGAGGGCAAGTCATGACACCAGCAAATCATTATTATTTTTTTTTTTTTACAGATCAATACTTGGAGTCAAAGTATCGATATAATATCGTCCAAAATAATATTGAGATATGTAACTGTAACCATCCCCCCCATTACTAGTGATTGTGCATGTGGACTGAGGCTTGTTACCCATGACTGAATTATGTTTTCCTCTGACTCAGGGCTGGAGAGAAAGCTAAAGGCTGGAGAGGAGAAGCTTGATCAGTTCGCAAACGACAAGGCCAAGCTCCAAAGTGACATCTCAGACATGATGAAGTCATCAGGCGACAGTTCAGCACAGCTTACCAAAATGAATGAAGACCTCACTCAGAAAGAAAGGTACATACACAATTAAATTAAATGTCACGAACAAAGGTGTTCTCAAACATATGCAAATCGATTGGCTTACTTTCACTGTTTACAATCAGGTTAACCACTAGTGCCAATATTTAATGAGCGTATGACAACGATGCACAAAACCGTTCAACATGCACTGAGTATACAAAGCATTAAGAGCACCTGCACTTTCCATGACAGACTGACCAGGTGAATCCAAGTGAAAGCTATGATCCCTTATTGATGTAACTTGTTAAATCCACTTCAATCAGTGTAGATGAAGGGGAGGAGACAGGTTAAAGAAGGATTTTTATGCCTTGAGACAATTGGTTGTATGTGTTCCGTTCAGAGGGTGAATGGGCAAGACAAAAGATTGAAGTGCCTTTGAACGGGGTATGGTAGTAGGTGTCAGGCACACTGGTTTGTGTCAAGAACTGCAATGCTGCTGGAATGTTCCACCACCCAAAGGACAACCAGCCAACTTGACACAACTGTGGTAAGCATTGGAGTCAACATGGGCCAGCATCCCTATGGAACACCTTGTAGAGTCCATGCCCTGACGAATTGAGGCTGTTCTGAGGGCAAAGGGGGGGGCAACTCAATATTAGGAAGGTGTTCTTAATGTTTGGTATACTCAGTGTATAATCACTTATTTATTGACTGAACTTGCCATGATCATGTAGTTTTTATGGGTTGTTATTATTATCCTTAAATAATCTTAAAGCAGGGTTGACCTTTCCATCGCCCTGGTTTTCAGTTTATTAGTTTCAGTCAAAAAACATTTGAATCTGCCCCCTACAATGAATCCCTGGTTTGTTTGAATACCACCTGTCTCACTTGGTCAGAGAGTCACCCCCTCCTCCCCCTTTCCTAGGAGGCTGGAAGAGCTACAGACTCAACTTGCAGAGGAGAAGGAGCGGACAGCACGTTCTGAGGAGCAACAACAGCAGGAAGTAGCCCGGAAGGAGCAGGAGCTGAAGGGGGCCAGAGACGAGCATCAGGGTCAGCTAAGCAACCTGCAGGAGAAGATCACACAACTGGTGAGTGAAAACCCAGAGAAAGCTTTGAGATGTTGATGGTCGGGATAAAGTAGATGATTAGATGTAAAGAGCAGAAGTTTGTTGTAAAACAGCATACATTTTTCTTCCCAGGATTATACTTTTTACTGTCTCTACCCTAAACACTGAATACCTCACTTTACCACTGTCCCCCTTTCAAACAGCAAATGATTGATGTCGTTAGTTACTGTTGCCCTCTTTATGTTGTGTGTAGGAGAAGAGTTTGCACCAGGGTGAGGCCCAGGCCAAGGAGCTGCAGACCTCCCAGCAGAAAGCCCTGTCTGAGGCCTCAGAGCACCATGCCAAGCAGCTCAAGGAGCTGCAGGGTCAGGCTGACAAGACCAAGCAGGAGCTGAGTGTCTCCAGGGAGAAGGCCCAGGAGCTGGAGAGGCTGGTGGCCGAGCTGCAGCCTTACAAGGAGAAAGCCCAGGTGAGCACCCACCATATCATTATCAGGACCACCATGTTTTAAGCTCTCAGGAGGTGCTGTCTTTTGGTACAAAAATCTACCCTAATGACAATTTTGACTGCTTTGTAGTTATGTTGCTTTAGATTGACTGACGTTTTTTCTGAGCACTTTTTTCAAGTATAGTCCCATCCACTTTCTATGAGAGATGTTGGTAGCACTTTATTTTACGGTACAGAAATGACTAGGTTATTATTGTGTCATTTACCATTTTACTATGTAGTTTCAAAGTAAATAAAAGTGCTACCTTAAGTGGTCTATGCTCAGGTTTGATGTGCACTTGATAATAATTAGACCACCTCACTTCTAATTAGGGCTGGGCGATATGGCCTAAAACTCATATCTCTATTTTTTTCAAACTTATGGGCGATTCACGATATATAAGCCTTGTTGTACAACTAAAGGTAAAATACACTGCATTTAAAACAGTCAGCAATAATCAAATGAATTCAGAGCTTGTGAAATTATACCTAGGCTGAATATATGCCTTCCACAACCTTAAGACCCACTAATAATGTAATTATTTTATCAAAATAGTTGTACCTGCTTTTTTTGCAATAATCACTGATCTGGCTTTCAGGTCTGTCAATAAAAATGCCCATTTTGTAACAAATTTAACCAGAACCATGCATAATGCACATTCACTAATAATATAGCAGGCATTATAGAAAATGAACACACTTCTCATAAACAATCTCTCAAGCACAAGCCCATGTGCTAGTGAGTAGCCAGCTAATATTTATATTTCAAGTTTAGCCAGCTTGGATCTAGGTATAATTTCACAAGTTCTGAATTCAGATACTAGTAACAAGGCAAAACAGTTGAATTGTTATGAACACAACCTTCTGTCCATCTCCAACTGTTTGAACAGCATGCTAGCCTGTCCATTTTGTTCAGATGTTGAAATCAAGTGGCCTAACGTTACCTTATTTATCAGAATGAGAACGAGTTTCCAATTCCATATATAATTGTTTTATGCTTATTGCACATGTATAAAACACAGACTAGACCCCTAGTATAACAATCTTTATTTGACTAAAATGCTGCTAGCGTTATGTGGTACCGTAATGCGCGTGACAAAATTAGCATTAATTTTCCAGAATGAATGTTCATTGGTACATCCGTTTTAGTAGTGTCTGCTCTGCTCGAAATTTGAGGAGTTGAGACAGTGTATGGTTCGAAAGGTTAACTTCTCCTCTATTACAGTAAAATAATGTCTCCATGTGCTTCGGTGTCCATATGACCAATTATGTTGGACCAAACCTCAAATGCAAATAGCGAGGGAGGGGCTTGGGAGAAAGAGACGAAGCGAGAGGTTTCACTCACTCGCAAAAATATGTCCAAAATAAGCCCAATGCGTTTCTATGCGCTTATTTTGAACCTTGTCGCCTGACTTCCCGCCTTTGGGACAACGACTCCCATTGTTAGGGCAGAGACATTAGCATCTCGTCATTATATACAGATCTCTGGTGTAAATGGGAAGGTGCACAGTACAGAAGGAGCGAACGAGACCAAAAAGACAACATGAGAACAAGCGGACATAAACGCTCATAAAAACGAAAAATACAAAAAAAACTTGATTCTCTGATACTTGCATTAGGAATATCGCGCAAAAACATAGAATCGAATTAATGCAATGTATCGCCCAGCCATACTTCTATTGTCTGGGTAGTTATCCTACTGTAAGAAGTTCCTGAAGTCCGTATTGTGAAGGGTTCACAGACTGTTATGCCATAATTGTTCTATCACAGTGACCTCATTCTTTGATTTCACTAACACAAATAGATTTTTTTTAAACTCACTAAGCCTATTCCTAAGGCTATAAGATTCATGTTAGCATTTTATCTGCTCATAATATTGTTTTTTTGTTCACTGTGTGTATTCAAGTCCATTGCACCATGTAACAATGAACAGCCATTGATGGTCATCTTATATGCACCATCTTCATTTGTCTATTGACAGTGTGGCTATGTTGTGGTGTGGTTTTAGGGCCTACTTAAAAAGCAGGGGCACATCTTAGAGATAAAAACACTGATACTGACAGTCTCGATGAGTTACCGGTATGTAAAGTGTACGGCTTCTGTCTATGCTCACCAATTATTAGACATTTAAAACAGGGTTATATACTTGTCCAAATCTTCTCAATGGAAAGTACACATTTACGCAGACACACTCTCCTCCTCACCTAATACACTGCACACCAATTGAAAACCTGAAGCTATCATTAGAGCACACTTACAAGACAAACACACACATAGGCATGCATAAGCACTCCATTGGCGTGCCCCTGTTTTCAATATATTCTGTTTTCATGGTATTGTCAGCTACGTTTTTTTTTTCTCCCAACTGTTTTTTATGCTTACACCAGCCTAACCTTTCCAGTTGCATTTTATTACTTCTTGACTTATTTTGTTACTTTTCCCTTTATATGCCCCTTTTTTCTTTCAACTTCATTCCCTCAGTTTCTTTCTGCTGAGCTCGACTCCTCCATGCAGCATGTTGAGCGATTGTCCACAGACCTGGAGAAGCAAATCTCAGCACTGGAACACATGTCTAAGGAAAGTTCAGATCTCAGAGCTCATAAGGAAAATCTCGAGAAGCAACTCTTCGAACTCCAGGCCAAGCTCTCTGCCCTGGAGGCTAGTCACCATGAGCTCTCAGTTAAGACTGAAGAACTGCTGACACTGAGGGACAAGCTCACAAAAGAGCAGGAAGAACTTTTGACCACAAATCGGCAGCTGGATGGAGAGAAGGCCTCACTATCCAGAGAGATTGAGAAGCTCAGAGTTTGTGTTGAGGAGGCACAGGCCAAAAACAAATCCCTCAGTCAATCTGAAGTGGAGCATCAGTCCCAAATTGAGGAGCTACAAAAGACAAATGCAGAGAAGCATGAGGTCCTCTTGAAGTACCAACAGGAGATCCAGCAGCTGGAAACTAAGAGGAATCAGCTAGCAGAAATCTATAAGAAGACCTGTGAGGAGAGGAATGGGCTCCAGGAGGAGCTCAAGCAAAGCAAGGAGAAGCTGATCTCTGAGAAGGATAGCCTTGTGTTGGAGAGAGATGCAGCAAGAAATGCTAAGAAATCCCTTGATGCAAAGAATACAGAGTTGCAGACAAGGTGTCAGTCTTTGAGCTTGGAAAAAGAAGACCTCTGTGTGAAAAACACTCAGTTGCAGGCCCAGAAAGAGACCTTGGGCAAAGATAAAGTGGAGATGTCTGCTCAAATTAATGCTGCTATTTCTGACAAAAAGGTCCTCCAAGCCATGAATACAGCGCTTCAGAATCAGCTGAATATCACCAAGAAGGATCTTGAGAAGTCTGTCCACGAAAACGGCGAGCTCCAGGCTTCCAAAATGAGCCTAGCCAAGATGCTGGATGAGTCCAAGACCAGCAGTGAGGTTACAGATTCTGAGAGGCTTCACCTCATGCAAGAGAAAGAGGACCTGCTTGCTACCCAGCGAAAGGTGTGTTCTGAGAAGGATGAACTTCTTAATGAGATAGAAGAGTTGAAGGAGAAGCTCAAACTTTCTACACAGGAAGCGGCTACCTCTAAGGAGAAAGTCAAAGAGGTGTTGTCATCTTTTGCCAAGGAGAAGGAAGCTCTTTGTCTCCAGAATGAAGAGACAGAGAAGGCGCTACACTCTGTACGGAAAGAGAAGCTGGCCATGGAATCAACACTGGAACAGCATAAGATGGAGAGTGACTGTTTGGTACATGAAAAGGAAGAGCTTGAAGAAAAGCACACAAAGGAGGTCTCTGAAAAGGCTACTCTAACAAAAGAGCGCGACAAGCTAGCAGGTGAGATCCGCAGTATGAAAGACCAGCTGGACAGCTCCTCCAAGGCCAATGATGACCTGAAGCAAGCCAATTCCAACCTTACATCCTTGCTAGAGGAATCCAAACATAAGATACAAAAGGTGGAGGTTGAGGAAGCTTCCTTGAAAAAAGAAAAGGCTGATCTACAGGCACAGCTGCAGAAGCGTTGCTCTGAGAGGGAGGCCCTTGAAAAAAGCAAAACTGAACTTGCAGAGGAGCATCATAAACTAAAAGGCAACTCTGAGCAGGTGCATTTGGAACTCATCCAGCAGAGGGATACCCTAAGAAAAGAGCGGGATCTCCTGCACTCCCAGCAGGCAGAGCTTAACAAGAGCATACAGATCCTGCAGAAGGACAAAGATGATCTTTTTCTGCAGGTTCATGAGTTCAAGGGTCAGACGGAATCACTTTCAAAGGCAAAAATGCTTCTTGAATCGCAGCAGCAGACTGAAGCCACTGAACGAAGTAAACTGTCCTCTACAAAGGATGACCTCTCCAGAGAGAGAGAAGACTTACAGAGTCAGTTGTCCACTCTGATACAGAATAAGACCTCCCTCCTGCAGTCTGAATCCAGCCTGAAGGCAGAGATTGCCTCCATTTGTGTTGAAAGAGACACAATGGCCTCTGAGCGAAATAGTTTGTGTTGTGATTTAGAGCAACTTAAGATGACTCACACTGGATTGTTAGGTGAGCGACATGGTCTGCTTGAGGAGAATGCCCAGATTCAAGCTAAAGTGCAGGACCTCACTCAGAAATCTGTGACTAGAGACAAGGCCATTGATGAATTGTCTGCCAGACTTAAGGATATTGCAGAGGAGAGAAAAGCCTTGGCTAGGGAGGTTGAAAACTTGAAGGCCCAGCTGAAGCAGAGAGACCAGGAAAAGGATGGCCTGGTTGAAGACAAAGAGTGCCTGTTTTCCAAGCTTGAGGAGCTTGGCAAAGAGGTCTCCTCCCTGGCTAAGGAGAAGGTAGACCTCTTAGCTATACAGTCCAGGCTGGAGAAAAACCTTTCCTCCCTCCACAGCAGCCAAAAGAGTGGTGATGGGGAACGCTCAAGGCTCCTGGGGGACGTAGAGAAGCTGCGAGCTGCCCAGATACAGCTCGAGGCAGATGCTGAGGCCCTACGTGCTGAGAAGGCAGGGATAGAGGGACAGCACAAAGTCTCTGTGGAGGAGGCATCTGCGTCTGCCAAGGCCCGGGAAGAAATTGGCACCAACCTGAAAGACCTGAAGGTCGAGAAGGATGCCTTGCTCAAGGAGAGGGACAAAGCCACCCAGCAAGTCACCCAGCTTGAAGCTCAACTGAAAAACGTTATTTCCAAGCAGCTTGAGGTACTCCACTACTAACAAACCCTGTATATAACCCTCACATTGAGATGGCTGTGGTCATGTTTCACCCTCACTGCATGCTAGTTTGGTCACCTTTTCTATTTATCTCACTTTTTGTTTCATCTCCTTTACTAACTGCTCTATCTTTATTATAGTCCCCTGCGAAAAGTTTATATATGAAATATATTCCTGTAGGTTTAGAACGTGGTTTGAGAAGTTAGGGTCTGTTCCTTGGTTGGGGCAGATGGTTACATCTCATCTCCCTTAGAATTTGGTTTTAAGAGTCATGCCCACAACCATGGTCTCTTTTCTTTAATTGAGATTTCAAACAATATGTTAGGGCCAAAGTACATTACTGCAAGTATCCGTTCTCAGGCCACAGGATATAATTAGTTCATTTTTCTCTCTTCTCAACATTTTTCATTTGAGCCTTTAGGTCCTTCACCAACATTGTAGTCAAAGCTAGTTGCCTGTTACATTACTGTAGTAGTAGATGTGGGCATTGCAATGATTCCTGAGGATTAAATCAATTGCATAGTAATTGTGGAAACACAATCATCGTAACCCACTAGAGCTTCAAAATCAAGTTTGGAATGATTTGGATGACTGACATGCAATGCATGCAAATTTAATTCTGCACGATATGAGAAAATGTAAATAGTGATCCCTCTGAGTTGATTTGGGCTGTGTAAAATAAGTCTCTATCAAATCAGGACAAAGGGGTTTGCTGTTCACCTCAACCAACCCCAATCCAAGTAAATTGCAGGTATTTCATCATAATCTGGTTGACATGCCCCCCTCTCCCTCACTACTTAGGCAGCAGAGTCCTCAGGGAAGACTGCTGAGGCCGTGGAGCGGCTGACACAAGAGAAGGGCCGTCTGCAGCAGGAGAAGAGTGAGGCCCAGTCTCAGCTGGAGGAGTTCAGGAGTGACAAGCAGGAGATGACCAGTCTGGTGAGTCAGGGATATGGAGAATGCAATGCCTCAGATGGGGTGTAATATATTGGTTGAGCAGCGTGTATTTTCAGTAAGGTATGGAGAATGTTGAAATTTTGTGGGTGTGGAATGATGTCTTTGTCACTGTCATAAAGGGTCCTCACTAAGGACTCTGGAAGGGGCTCCTTAGGGTAAACATTGAATCAAATAAACAAAATGAACTGAATGATCCTCTTTGAACAACTGAACCAATTTGAAAGTTCAGGAAAAAGATTTTCACAGAAATATCTGGGTGTTGTGTGTTATCTTACCAGAAGTTGGGTGTGTGGAGTGTCATGGTTGCAAACCACTTTCATAAATTAGTCTTCACAACATAATACAGTGTTACACGTAAACAGAAATTCAGCCACAGATGCTGACATGCTCACACTTACCAAGATCACATTCCTGTGTGGGTCTGACACGGAGGGAAAGAAAGTAGCCAAACCGACTCGCGCAAGTTAGACAAACTTGTTGCTGCGATAGGTTATCTATCATCTCATCTGGTAGTGTCCGTCTTGACAGCATAAAATCGATGTAAAGAAGCTAGCTACGCTAGTCAGCTAAGTTAGCTAGCTATCTAGCAAGGCTAATTGAGGCTATTTTGCTGCTCCCCCATCCTTGTCTACAACAACTCCATTCATATTAAACAACAGCCTACCTGTTGGTTGATCGTTGTAGCCTACTCCTTTTCATTTAACCAACTTAATACTGTAATATATTCCATTATAATTCCATTTTGCATTAATTAGAAATCTCCCACTTCACTTGCTACATGTGAGCCTTTGACTGTAGTGCTGCTTTGATTGACCGACAATAACAAGCTTCATTGTATTATATACATTATAAGTTATTTATGTTTTGTGTGTGTTACTGCTCAGCTGGATGCATTGAAGCAACAGAATTCCAAATACCAAGAGGAGCTCAACCTGTTTAAGGAGCAACTCTGCTCAGAGAAGCAGAAAATCTGCAGCCTGTGCCAGGAGATGTGAGTATAGTGTGTGTATGTGTGTGTCTATGTATGTGTGCCTGCGTATGTGTGAAGCCCATCACAACAGGCCAGATTATTCTCTTCTCAGCCCTACCTTCCACTCGGGGGGGGGGGGGGGGGTAGCTTTACTTAGAAGAAATGCAAACTTGCTTTCTTTACTCCATGCTTGTAATCCTCCTTGCTCTCAAATTTTTTATTTTGGGTGAAAATATATTACACACACACACACACTGGGTGTTAGTTATAGCTCATTGCTCTCAAGTCTTCAAACTTTCAATATTCAGACTTTTAAGAGTCAGACATTGTCTTCATACCCAACCTCAAGGTCTAAATATCATATCAGTAAAAAAAATGTTTACTGAACTATGGCACAGTGCAATGCTCATGAAAATGTGTCAGTTCATCACTGTTCACTACTATGTACATATCTTATGGTGTGATTAATTTGGTTAACAACTTTATTAAAACACCTTGTAGTGTGGCTGCTGACTTACGCAGTAAAGTATTATATTTAATGGTAACATTTTAGGTGTCAATGTTAATGCCTAAAATTAATTCTCTACTTAAACCATTGGCCATGAATAATGATGCGACACTAAAGTTAAAATTGTTTTGCTGTTTAAATTGTTGAGCAAGCATTAGTGCCTGTGTCCTGCCAGGTGCTAGGTAGACAGTGAGGTGAATGATATCTGACATGCAAATCCTAGCAGCTAACAGTTGTAGAAAGTTATGTGTTTATAATATTGTCTGTGTGTGTTTAGTGAGGAGCTGAAGCAAGTTGCCTCTGTGAAGTCCCAGTCCCTGGTGGCCTTACAGGAGGAGAACAACAAGCTGACTAAGGAGCTTGGCAGGAGCAAGAAGGAGACCGGTGGCCAGCAGAAGGTACCACCACTGGACTGCTTTGTTCCCTCCTCCCTCAAACTGTCTCAACCATTTTAAGAATGTAACACAGCCTACATTGAATCACTACACCTGTCCAACCAAGCAATTTAATCCCATAATGTTTCTTTTTTTTAAAGCTGGAAACTCAGCAGTCCAAGCTCAATAAACAGTTGCAAGATATGAAGCAGAGGTGAGAAACTGTGTAGAAACATGGTGTGTATAGCTAGCAGTGTCTCTATAGTGCTGTTTCATTTCCATCCAAAAATTATCGTGGCATTGGAGACTCCCAACAGTTCTGCAATTAAGCATGGATGCTTGCATCAATTTGCCCTTCATCAACATGGCATGTCACGCTTGTGCTCTGTCCTACATGCTCTGTTTGCTAACATCCTCTTCTTTTGCCTTTCAAAGCTTGCCCAATAACACCTTCAGGTACTTCCATGCCTTTTTAATTGTTACATAACGTGTCATACTGTTACCTTAGGAAGGTAAGAGGAACTCAATGCTCTTCAATGAGTAATCCCTCTAATTCACTTGCTTTTCATCTCATATTTATTTCTCATTTTTTCAAGCTACTTTATGCTGTAGACTCGAAGTTCACATGCTGTAGATTATAAATGGTAATGTTGACTGCCTTCAACTAAATGTTCTCACCCCACCAGTTTTTTCCCAATGGATAACACATGCTTGATTACACCATTGGATAACACATGCTTGATTACACCATTGGATAACACATGCTTGATTACACCATTGGATAACACATGCTTGATTACACCATTGACATTGGATCTCTGTTTGTTTTCAAACAGATCCATCACGTCTGTCCAATACCATGCCTGTTTTATCCACAGGAGGCATAATAATGGCCGGAACGGAGCAAACGGAGCTCACCGTCGCTTTTCTTTCTTTTGTGTTCTCTGTCTTGATGTTATGCCTTTGTTGCCCTTTCAGCAGACTTCATCTTTTCATTCCATGCTTCTGAATTAGATTCACAAGCACACTTCTATGTATATACAGGTAACTGCCAAAATAAAGGAAACACCAACATAAAGTGTCTTTAATAGGGCATTGGGCCACCACGAGCCAGAACAGCTTCAATGCACCTTCACATAGATTCTCCAAGTGCCTGGAACTCTATCGAAGGAATGCAACACCATTCTTCCACGAGAAATTATATAATTTGGTGTTTTGTTGATGGTGGTGGAAAACGCTGTCTCAGGCGCCGCTCCACAATCTCCCATAAGTGTTGGGTTGATATCTGGGCCCAGTTTTATCTATCTGGATTTCGCCTATCGGATAGGATTAAATGCATAGAAATAAAATGAATAGAACGGACAAATCATTGACTTGAATGGGGACTTATTTTCTATTCATTCTATTTCTATGCATTTAATGAAAAACTGGGCCCTGGTGACTGAAACGACCATGGCATATAGTTTTCATGCTCATCAAACCATTCAGTGACCACTCGTGTCCTGTGGATGGGGGCATTGTCATCCTATGGGGTAATAGCCATGGTAGCCAAAATAACGGCCTGCCAAGCATTTTTATACATGACCCTAAGCATGATGTTAGGTTAATTGCTTAATTAACTCAGGAACCACACCTGTGTGGAAGCATCTGCTTTCAATATACATTGTATCCCTCATTTACTCAAGTGTTTACATTAATTTGACAGTTACCTGTGTGTGTACAGTACCAGTCAAAAGTTTGGACACACCTACTCATTCCAGGGTTTTTCTTTATTTTTAAAATGTTCTACATTGTAGAATAATAGTGAAGACATCAAAACTATGAAATAACACATGGAATCATGTAGTAACCAAAAAAGTGTTAAACAAATCAAAATATATTTTATATTTGAGATTCTTCAAATAGCCACCCTTTGCCTTGATGACAGCTTTGCACACTCTCGACCTTCTCTCGACCTTCTAGGCAGAGTTGCAGAGTTGCAAAGAAAAAGCCATATCTCAGACTGCCCATCTTAATCTTTTATTTTTATTGGCCAGTCTGAGATATGGCTTTTTCTTTGCAACTCTGCCTAGAAGGTCAGCATCTCGGAGTCGCCTCTTCACTGTTGACGTTGAGACTGGTGTTCCATAAAAAAAATCAGCCGTTTCCAGCTACAATAGCCATTTACAACATTAACAATGTCACACTGTATTTCTGATCAATTTGATGTTATTTTAATTGACCCCAAAAAAATATTTCGAAAACAAGGACATTTCTAAGTGTATATACAGTGGGGGAAAAAAGTATTTAGTCAGCCACCAATTGTGCAAGTTCTCCCACTTAAAAAGATGAGAGAGGCCTGTAATTATCATCATAGGTACACGTCAACTATGACAGACAAAATGAGAAAAAAAAATCCAGAAAATCACATTGTAGGATTTTTTATGAATTTATTTGCAAATTATGGTGGAAAATAAGTATTTGGTCAATAACAAAAGTTTCTCAATACTTTGTTATATACCCTTTGTTGGCAATGACACAGGTCAAACGTTTTCTGTAAGTCTTCACAAGGTTTTCACACACTGTTGCTGGTATTTTGGCCCATTCCTCCATGCAGATCTCCTCTAGAGCAGTGATGTTTTGGGGCTGTTGCTGGGCAACACAGACTTTCAACTCCCTCCAAAGATTTTCTATGGGGTTGAGATCTGGAGACTGGCTAGGCCACTCCAGGACCTTGAAATGCTTCTTACGAAGCCACTCCTTCGTTGCCCGGGCGGTGTGTTTGGGATCATTGTCATGCTGAAAGACCCAGCCATGTTTCATCTTCAAAGCCCTTGCTGATGGAAGGAGGTTTTCACTCAAAATCTCACGATACATGGCCCCATTCATTCTTTCCTTTACACGGATCAGTCGTCCTGGTGCCTTTGCAGAAAAATAGCCCCAAAGCATGATGTTTCCACCCCCATGCTTCACAGTAGGTATGGTGTTCTTTGGATGCAACTCAGCATTCTTTGTCCTCCTAACACAACGAGTTGAGTTTTTACCAAAAAGTTCTATTTGAAGTTTCATCTGACCATATGACATTCTCCCAATCCTCTTCTGGATCATCCAAATGCACTCTAGCAAACTTCAGACGGGCCTGGACATGTACTGGCTTAAGCAGGGGGACACGTCTAGCACTGCAGGATTTGAGTCCCTGGCGGCGTAGTGTGTTACTGATGGTAGGCTTTGTTACTTTGGTCCCAGCTCTCTGCAGGTCATTCACTAGGTCCCCCCGTGTGGTTCTGGGATTTTTGCTCACCGTTCTTGTGATCATTTTGACCCCACGGGGTGAGATCTTGCGTGGGGCCCCAGATCGAGGGAGATTATCAGTGGTCTTGTATGTCTTCCATTTCCTAATAATTGCTCCCACAGTTGATTTCTTCAAACCAAGCTGCTTACCTATTGCAGATTCAGTCTTCCCAGCCTGGTGCAGGTCTACAATTTTGTTTTTGGTGTCCTTTGACTGCTCTTTGGTCTTGGCCATAGTGGAGTTTGGAGTGTGACTGTTTGAGGTTGTGGACAGGTGTCTTTTATACTGACAACAAGTTCAAACAGGTGCCATTAATACAGGTAACGAGTGGAGGACAGAGGAGCCTCTTAAAGAAGAAGTTACAGGTCGGTGAGAGCCAGAAATCTTGCTTGTTTGTAGGTGACCAAATACTTATTTTCCACCATAATTTGCAAATAAATTCATAAAAAATCCTACAATGTGATTTTCTGGAGAAAAAAAATCTCAATTTGTCTGTCATAGTTGACGTGTACCTATGATGAAAATTACAGGCCTCTCTCATCTTTTTAAGTGGGAGAACTTGCACAATTGGTGGCTGACTAAATACTTTTTTCCCCACTGTATATACACACAGTGTGTGTGTGTGTGTGTGCATGTATATACAGCTGTGGAAAAAATTAAGAGACCACTGCAAAATTATCAGTTTCTCTGGTTTTACTATTTATATGAATGTGTTTGGGTAAAAATAACATTTTTGTTTTATTCTATAAACTACTGACAACATTTCTCCCAAATTCCAAATAGAAATATAGTCATTTAGAGCATTTATTTGCAGAAAATGACAACTGGTCAAAATAACAATGCAAAGAAAATAAGTTCATGTTCATTTTTAAACAACACAATACTAATGTTTTAACTTAGGAAGAGTTCAGAAATCAATATTTGGTGGAATAACACAGATTTTCAATCACAGCTTTCATGCGTCTTGGCATGCTCTCCACCAGTCTTTCACATTGATGTTGGTGACTTTATGCCACTCCTGGCGCAAAAATTCAAGCAGCTCGGCTTTGTTTGATGGCTTGTGACCATCCATCTTCCTCTTGATCATATTCTAGAAGTTTTCAATGGGGTTCAGGTCTGTAGATTGGGCTGGCCATGACAGGGTCTTGATCTGGTGGTCCTCCATCCACACATTGATTGACCTGGCTGTGTGGCATGGCACATTGTCCTGCTGGAAAACCAATCCTCAGAGTTGGGGAACAATGTCAGAGCAAAAGGAAGCAAGTTTTCTTCCAGGACAACCTTGTACGTGGCTTGATTCACGCGTCCTTCACAAAGACAAATCTGCCCGATTCCAGCCTGGCTGAAGCACCCCCAGATCATCACCGATCTTCCACCAAATTTCACAGTGGGTGCGAGACACTGTGGCTTGTAGGCCTCTCCAGGTCTCCGTCTAACCATTAGACGACCAGGTGTTGGGCAAAGCTGAAAATTGGACTCATCAGGGAAGATGTCCTTACTCCAGTCCTCTACAGTCCAATCCTTATGGTCTTTTGCAAACCTCAGCCTGGCTCTTCTTTGCTTCTCATTGATGAAGGGCTTTTTTCTAGCTTTGCACGACTTCAGCCCTGCCCCTAGGAGCCTGTTTCGAACCGTCCTCGCCGTGCACTTCACCCCAGCTGCCGTTTGCCATTATTTTGTAGGTCACTTGATGTCTTCCTACGGTTGTTGAGTGACATTCTAATGAGTTGGCGGTCATCCCGGTCAGTAGAGTCGTTTTCGCCCTCTGCCGGTCTGTAGCTTTGTTGTCCCCAATGTCTGGTGCTTGACCTTGTTCTTATGGACTGCCGTCTTTGAAATTTTAAGGATGGAAGCAACCTGACACTCACTGTATCCCTCTGCCAGTAAAGCCAGAATTGAACTCTTCTTTTCCTCACTCAAAACTTTCCTTTTCAACTCTTTTGGCATGGTCAATAGTTATTTTTTGATTAATATTACCTTTGAGGTACTATTGGCAATGTTTTTACCATCCAGCTGATCCTATTGCAAGAGGATAGTGATGACCACAGCAGTGGTTTTTATACTTTTCCTCGTTAAATAAGATTTGGTTCATGTGATCACCTAATCAGTACCTAATTCAGTAGAATGAGGTGTGCCTGTGTTGGAATTCAACAGATACTGGAATGGAATGGCTGTCATACATGTAGAGATGCTGATTTAAGAAAAATTTGCAGTGGTCTCTTAATTTTTTTCACAGCTGTGTATATATATACTGTATATACGCATGCATACATGCATAAATACATACATGACCAAAAGTATGTGGATACCTGCTCGTCGAACATCTCATTCCAAAATCATGGGCATTAATATGGAGTTGGTCCCCCCTTTGCTGCTATAACAGCCTCCACTCTTCTGGGAAGGCTTTCCACTAGATGTTGGAACATTGCTGCGGGGACTTGCTTCCATTCAGCCACAAGATCATTAGTGAGGTCGGGCACTGATGTTGGGCGATTAGGCCTAACTCGCAGTCGGCGTTCCAATTCATCCCAAAGGTGTTCGATGGGGTTGAGGTCAGGGCTCTGTGCAGGCCAGTTAAGTTCTTCCACACCGATCTCGACAAAACATTTCTGTATGGACCTCACTTTGTGCACAGGGGCATTGTCATGCTGAAAAAGGAAAGGGCCGTCCCCAAACTGTTGCTACAAAGTTGGAAGCACAGAATCATCTAGAATGTCATTGTATGCTGCAGCGTTAAGATTTCCCTTCACTAGAACTAAGGAGCCTAGCCCGAACCATGAAAAACAGCCCTAGACCGTTATTCCTCCTCCACCAAACTTGACAGTTGGCACTATGCATTGGGGCAGGTAGCGTTCTCCTGGCATCCGCCAAACCCAGATTCGTCTGTCGGACTGCCAGATGGTGAAGCGTGATTCATCACTCCAGAGAACGCGTTTCCACTGCTCTAGAGTCCAATGGCGGCGAGCTTTACACCACTCCAGCCGGCGTTTGGCATTGCACATGGTGAACTTAGCCTTGTGTGCTGCTGCTCGGCCATGGAAACCCATTTCATGAAGCTCCCGATTAACAGTTCTTGTGCTGACGTTGCTTCCAGAGGCAGTTTGCAACTCAGTAGTGAGTGTTGCAACCAAGGACAGAAGATTTTTACGCGCTTCAGCACTCGGTTGTCCCGTTCTGTGAGCTTGTGTGGCATACCACTTCGCGGCCGAGCTGTTGTTGCTCCTAGATGTTTCCACTTCACAATAACAGTACTTACAGTTGACCGGGGCAACTCTTGCAAGACAGAAATTTGATGAACTGACTTGTTGGAAAGGTGGCATCCTATGACGGTGCCATGTTGAAAGTCACTGAGCTCTTCAGTAAGGCCATTCTACTGCCAATGTTTGTCTTTGGAGATTGTGCTTGATTTTATTAACCTGTCAGCAACGGCTGTGGCTGAAATAGCAGAATACACTAATTTGAAGGGGTGTACACATACTTTTGTGTATATATAGTGTATCTACACTGAGTGTACAAAACATTAGGACCACCTTCTTAATATTGAGTTGCACCCCCTTTTGCCCTCAGAACAGCCTAAATTTGTCGGGGCATGCTCTACAAGGTGTCGAAAGCGTTCCACAGGGATGCTGGCCCATGTTGACTCCAAAGCTTCCCACAGTTGTCAAGTTGGCTGGATGTCCTTTGGGGGGTGGACCATTCTTGATACACACTGGAAACTGTTGTGTGAAAAACCCAGCAGCGTTGCAGTTCTTGATACACTCAAACCAGTGTGGCTGGCACCTACTACCATACCCCGTTCAAAGGGACTTAAATCTTTTGTCTTGCCAATTCACCCTCTAAAAATGGGGAAATTATATTTTATACTTATGTAATTGCTCAGAGAAAGTGATTCGGTTTAACAAGTAATACAAAACATTTCTCAAAGGTAGGGGTCAAAATTATTGACACCTAAAGATTCTTATAAATAAAGTAGTCAAAAGTTTAATATTTGGTCCCATATTCCTAGCATGCAATGAGTACATCAAGCTTGTGACTCTACAAACTTGTTGGATGCATTTGCAGTTTGTTTTGGTTGTGTTTCAGATTATTTTGTGCACAATAGAAATGAATGGCAAATAATATATGGTGGCATTTTGGAGTCACTTTTATTGTAAATAAAAATAGAATATGTTTCTAAACAAGTCTACATTTAATGTGGATGTTACCATAATTATGGATAATCCTGAATGAATCGTGAATAATGATGAGTGGGAGTTTCAGAGGGTCAAAGATCATACCCCCAAGACATGCTAATCTCCCCTGTTATTGGTAATGGTGAGAGGTTTATCAAGGGTGTCAACAATTTCAGACCACACTGTATATACTGTATAAAGATCGATCTTTACCAAACTTAAGCAACCGGCAACAGTTCATTGCAGGTAAAAGTCACATTATGTTGGCTGCTGGTGGTACTTCAATATACATTAGATTTAACACAGATTATGCATGGTCAATGCTCCACTAGTCCTTGTTGAAGTGGTTAAACTCTGTTAATCATAATTGTGTGTTGTCCTTGACAGAGAGACCACCTTGAAGAAACAGTTAGATGAAGAGAAAGCCTCCCTCCAGAAGTCCATCCATAAAAGCAGTGTCTTGATCTCCGAGAAGGATCAGGAGCTGGAGACCCTAAAGAGGGAGGTAAGAATTGGCGCTCTTCCCTATTTCTAGACATTTTAATTCCCTAGCCTCATGGGAGACTTCCTGGCACTATTTCTAAGCCAAAAAGCATTGGAGTAGTCTTATTAGATCTGGAGTTTTAATGAGTTCTCTTTTCAGGATAATGTTTTTTCAGCATTTGTATACTATATTCATTGTATAATGTATATGACATAATGTTTGTCTTTTTCCCTCTGAGCAGTTTTCAGTGCTGCGTGGGGAGAGCGCCACAGCGAAGACACTGAAGTCTACTGTCCAGTCTCTGGAGAAGGACAAGTCGCGGCTGCAGGAGCGCGTTCAGAGCCTGGAGAAGAGCCTTGCAGGAGGACAGGACACTGTTACCAGCGCCTCTGGTATGACTGGGCAGTCAAAGCTTAACTCTACAGATTGAGCTCCACTGTCACTGAATGCTTAATATGCATGTTTTCCCTTCAGGTGATGAAGCTCTGAACCAACTAAGGGAGGACAAGGAGTCTTCAGAGAGCCAGGTATGCATGACTTATTATGGCCCAATTTAGCAAAAATGGGTGCATAAAACACAACTTGGGTATGCCATTCAGTGTTTTTTTTACCGATATGTATGTTTTTGGACGATTCGTGCATTCACTTAATATATGTTTCCATACTATTGCCATATGACAAGCAGTGGATGTTTTGCATACTATGATCATGTCAACTTTCATATTGGCAGTGTTATGGAAATTACCTCTAAATTAATTCAATTTTTATCATGAAATGGCAACGAGGTCTCTGCTAAAACTCTGCTGAAACTGATGTCCATGTCTGCCAAGTCCATGGTTGGCAGTGTAGACTTCATTTAAATTAACTGTAGAACCTCTGACAATTGATTTGTTATGTGAAATCAAACCTTATTTTGGGGCCTCACAAACCTCTAAATCGCTTAACACAAAAACGATCATGTGCACTAAAGTCTGGTACTCTAATGTGTGGATTGGCCACTGGGAGTAAACGGATACCGGACTGCACTCTGGTCAAAGAGTGATGACAGACACAGAAACCCAGTCTAGGAGTTTAATGATGAAACAGAGTATACATGTGGTATTTGGTAAAAAATGCACAAATATCCCTGCAAATGAAAACAGTCTGATCTCCACAAAAGCCAACCGGACTGAGAAATAAGTTACGTTTTTATACTAACAATTGGTTGCCATGGTGAATAATCCAATGATAATTGATAGGACACATGAAAGGAAACAGCAGAAAGTTTACTGGAGTCTCTAAATGAAAATACTGGCAGATCAATTTAAAAAAAAATCTAATCTAACAGGCTTTTATACATAGATCAGCATCACTTTACTTACTGTTCCAGGCTTTTTCAGTGATGTAGTCTAGCTGTACTGCTTGCCTACTATTTTCTCTGTCAGTGATGACTTGAGTCTGTTGTCTGGCATTAGGTGGGTCCTAATTTTCATCTGTTTTGTCTCCTCCCTCTCCTCTTCCTCATTTACCACCACCTCCTCTGTCACTGATGTTGGCAATGCTATCCGAAAATCAGGCAGCGGTTTGTTACTGTTTTTCTTCAGCTCCACTCATGCATGTCTATTTGTCTGTAGATTTCCCCACGGTTCTCGTTCTGTCTGTGCTGTTCTGTGTTCTGAAAAAAAATTCCTGAAAGTTCCTGTTGGTTTACATTTCTGGTCGTCTCCTAAGGAGGAATCAGGCCTTTTCTCTCACCTAATTTACCATAAGGATGTATTTACAATTAGCTTTTAGGGGATAACATTTTTTTTTACACCATATCCTATTCATAAAGGAAATGTACTTGAGTTATGATTTCCAGCAAATTAGCATGCCTGGATGCCACAATTTCTCATTGGTGGACGATCCAGAGTTGTACTGTTCAGTGTTGCCCTCTTTACTCTTGCTCAAGCCAGGATGTGGGGTTTGTTTTCATAACTTAGGAACTGGACAAACACGTTGGTGAAGGTTATGGTTCACTGTTGTTCTTGTAGCAGGGTGGGTTGGGGAAAGGGGTGAATTTATGAATGGCTTGTGTGATATTAGCACTCAATGAGATGTGGATGCTGTTGGATGACCTGTTGTTTATGTGTTCCATTTGCCAAAGTTCTAAGTTGGCAACATTTATGTTTAACTGAAGTTTGTGCCGCATGAGCATAAAGAACTGTCACTGTCCGTGATATCCCTTCTTGTCTGGGGCAGATTGAGTTCCTGAACTCTGTTATCGTGGACCTGCAGAAGAAGAATGAAGACCTTAAGGGCAAGCTGGAGAAGATGGCAGAGGCTTCCCTTAATGGGAATAATGCAAGAGAGCTTGATAACTATGACGGGTCAGCCTTCTCCCATGCTATTAAACACTAACCCTGAGTCAGAAAAGTTCAAGCCCACACTAACCTCATGTTTTTCCTTTTTTGCTAATTTTATTAAGTTAGTTCAGAGCATAAAGCAGTATTTCTATTTTAACGATTCATCATAGTCCAAATTGCCATCAACCCCCCCCCCATTTGTCTAGTCTTCTGTACATACTCACGGCCTGACCCTGTATGTCTCCCACCGTCTCCTCAGCGGTTTTAGTGAAGGTCCCTCCAAAAAGAAGGTCCCACCAAGGCTCTTCTGTGACATCTGTGACTGCTTCGACCTCCATGATACAGAAGACTGTCCCACTCAGATGCAGATGCCGGACTCCCCACCCCACACCACCTACCACGGCAGTAAGGATGAGGAGAGAGCTTATTGTGACATCTGTGAGACCTTTGGCCACTGGACTGACTCCTGTAACGACGACCAGACCTTCTAATCTAAAGCCTTCGAGAACCATCTTTGGTACAATCTCAACTTTTGCACATACAGTACCAGTCAAAAGTTTGGACACACCTACTCATTCAAGGGTTTTTCTTTATTTTTACTATTTTCTACATTGTAGAATAATAGTGAAGACATCAAAACTATGAAATAACACATATGGAATCATGTAGTAACCAAAAAAGTGTTAAACAAATCAAAATATATTTGATATTTTAGATTCTTCAAATAGCCACCCTTTGCCTTCATGAAAGCTTTGCACACTCTTGGCATTCTCTCAACCAGCTTCACCTGGAATGCTTTTCAAACAGTCTTGAAGGAGTTCCCACATATGCTGAGCACTTGTTGGCTGCTTTTCCCTCACTCTGCCGTCTGACTCATCCCAAACCATCTCAATTGGGTTGAGGTCGGGGGAGTGTGGAGGCCAGGTCATCTGATGCAGCACTTGTTGGCTGCTTTTCCTTCACTCTGCCATCCGACTCATCCCAAACCATCTCAATTGGGTTGAGGTCGGGGGATTGTGGAGGCCAGGTCATCTGATGCAACACTCCATCACTCTCCTTCTTGGTCAAATATCCCTTACACAGCCTGGAGATGTGTTGGGTCATTGTCCTGTTGAAAAACAAATGATAGTCTCACTAAGCCCAAACCAGATGGGATGGTGTATCGCTACAGAATGCTGTGGTAGCCATTCTGGTTAAGTGTGCCTTGAATTCTAAATAAATCACAGACAGTGTCACCAGCAAAGCACCCCCACACCATAACACCTCCTTCTCCATGCTTTACGGTGGGAATTACACATGCAGAGATCATCCGCTCACCCACACCACGTCTCACAAAGACACGGCGGTTGGAACCAAAAATCTCAAATTTGGACTCCAGACCAAAGGACAAATTTCCACCGGTCTAATGTCCATTGTTTGTGTGTCTTGGCCCAAGCAGGTCTCTTCTTCTTATAGGTGTCCTTTAGTAGTGGTTTCTTTGCAGCAATTTATTTGGGCTGCAATTTCTGAGGCTGGTAACTCTAATGAACTTATCCTCTGCAGCAGAGGTAACTCTGGGTCTTCCTTTCCTGTGGCGGTCCTCATGAGAGCCAGTTTCATCATAGCGCTTGATGGTTTTTGCGACTGCACTTGAAGAAACTTTCAAAGGTCTGGACATTTTCCGTATTGACTGACCTTCATGTCTTAAAGTAATGACGTACTGTCGTTTCTCTTTGCTTATTTTAGCTGTTCTTGCCATAATATGGACTTCTTCTGTATAAGGCTATAATAAGGCTATCTTCTGTATACCCCCCCCCCCTACCTTGTCACAACACAACTGATTGGCTCAAACACATTAAGAAGGAAAGAAATTCCACAAATTAACTTTTTAAGAAGGCACACCTGTTAATTACAATGCATTCCAGGTGACTACCTCATGAAGCTGGTTGAGAGAATGACAAGAGTGTGCAAAGCTTTCATGAAGGCAAAGGGTGGTTACTATATGATTCCATATGTGTTATTTCATAGTTTTGATGTCTTCACTATTATTCTACAATGTAAAAAATAGTAAAAATAAAGAAAAACCCTTGAATGAGTAGGTGTGTCCAAACCTTTGACTGGTAGTGTAAATCAAATTCTGAGGTGCACAAGTGCACATGGAGTTCTCTACAGTATGGGTGTGTGCACGTGTTTGTTTGTGCAGAAAGTATTTATTGCACAAGCCCCTAAGCGCTCTAATGGGAGGATGTTGTCTCAAAACAATCAACTTAATTATCCGCACCCACACGTCATTGACTGGCAAAAGGGGCAGAAATGCCAACGTATTGTGATAAGGTTTTCATTGGGAATTGTAGAGGACTTTTGTTTAAAAAAACACTGTTTGTGTCGCGACCCTCTTCAGTGTGTGCAAAATATGAGGCTATAGTTTATTTTTTTACGCTTGGACATACTTTGTACTTAAAAAAAGGTTGCCTTGTCAATCTGTCTGTGTGATAATTGTGTGGTGGAAAGGCATGGAGAGGGGCGTGGCTGGCGCCTGTTGCCTGGCAGGGTTGGAGCAGTGAAACAACTTTTTTTTTTAAGACTACCTCGGCCGTGTGGGATGGTGGTCAAGGTTGAAGCCGCTAAACAAACCTAAAGCACTGCACACACTTTATTCCTCTCTGTTTAAAATCCTTGGTTCCTTTTTAAATGGCCTTTACAAGAACGATGCATAATTAAATTATCATTTTTAAGGATAAAATATTGTAAACAGATGGTATGATGCTCATGAATTTCTGTACCTAACTTTTTGAATGTTGAATATCTGTACAAAAATAAATGAAATTTATGGATACATTTTTAAGTTTGTTTCATAACATTTGCAGGAGCTCGTGAAATTACCCTTCAAACACATTTCATATTACAGTATTTTTTATTTATAAGTTCTTTAGCCAAATATTTTCTGTACACAATTACTTCCTCAGTACTCTCTCTGCTAAGCAATACAGTTCCTTTGAATAGAAAGTGATTGTAAGCCCTGGAAATGAGCACTTGTACTGTAAGCACTTCATGGTTTCAGACGTGACATCACGTTTAAATACATTACACAGATTACAGCTATAGTACAGTTCTAATTACTGTTCCCTTTAAAAACAATGTATTAAGTAATCTTAAGTGTTTGCCTGCAGTGTCTAATAATTTTACTCCACAGCTCCCCACATCCCCCCTAGAACACAATAGACCTGTTTTAATGTTTCCCATCAATACCTCAAAATCACTAGACCTGTTTTTAAAATGTACCATCAATACCTCAGTATTCTTAAATGGCTCTTTAACCATCTGGACTGATCTGAACACAAAGGCAATATGTCAAAATACTTCAAATATTAGTATGGGTGAAGGAAAGGAAGCTATTTTTGAACATTCATAAGGATAAATTATCTTTGAAAGAAATGCTCAAGCGAGACAGACAAGCACACGAAGATAGACACAACGCCAGATGCCTCACACCCTTAATAATCTAAAGCATTTCAGCTTTGGGTCCTGCAGTAGAGACCACATGGTCCACATCTCTGTGGGATTCAGTTTGTGCACCAGCATGATCTCCCTGTAAATGCAGGGGTTGAAGTGTGACACCACTTGACGGAACCCAAAGGTCTTGGAGCCAGAGTGGTGCGTCAGCGTGACATACATTTTCTGCAGGCACATGCCCACAAGACATTTTATTTTTTTACCTTTATTTAACCAGGTAAGCCAGTTGAGAACAAGTTCTCATTTACAACTGCGACCTGGCCAAGATAAAGCAAAGCAGTGCGATAAAAACAACAACACAGAGTTACATATGGGGTAAAACAAAACATAAAGTCAAAAAAATACAACATAAAATATATATACAGTGTGTGCAAATGTAGCAAGTTGCTATGGTGACCAATGAGCTAAGATAAGTCGGGGATTTGCCTAGCAGTGATTTATAGATGGCCTGGAGCCAGTGGGTTTGGCGACGAATATGTAGTGAGGACCAGCTAACGAGAGAGTACAGGTCACAATGGTGGGTAGTATATGGGGCTTTGGTGACAAAACGGATGGCACTGTGATAGACTACATCCAATTTGCTGAGTAGAGTGTTGGAGGCTATTTTGTAAATGACATCGCCGAAGTCAAGGATCGGTAGGATAGTCAGTTTTACGAGGGCATGTTTGGCAGCATGAGTGAAGGAGGCTTTGTTGCGAAATAGGAAGCCGATTCTAGATTTAACTTTGGATTGGAGATGCTTAATGTGAGTCTGGAAGGAGAGTTTACAGTCTAACCAGACACCTAGGTATTTGTAGTTGTCCACATACTCTAGGTCAGACCTGTCGAGAGTAGTGATTCTAGTCGGGTGGGCGGGTGCCAGCAGCGTTTGATTGAAGAGCATGCATTTAGTTTTACTTGTGTTTAAGAGCAGTTGGAGGCTACTGTGGGGATCTTTTTTATTATAACTAGATGTGATGCCTAGCTTAGAAATAATGCATTAATGATTAAACATAATAGGTTTGTACTGTACTGATATAAATTGTTTAACATAACAAGCTGTGATTCATGTGAGGAATGTTAGGGAGTAGGGTGAGACAGACTTGTGATTCTCACAGACACATACACACTGCCTCTTTGTTAAACCGCGCTCAAGGACATGTGTTCTGCTACAGTGGAGAGGAACGGACTATGTCTGAAGTTGCAAAACAACTAAACACCTGGCAACAGTGAAGCGCCAAGGGGCTGGGACCAGCCTGTGCGCCAACGATAGGCTGAGTAAGTCTAAACCACGCTCAGTCTCTACTCTGATTGGCCAGCAGGGAGCGGGAACTACCTCTGTCAGAGTATTTAGGGAAGAATTTAGAACAATGTGGATTTCAGTGGACCCGTATATACGAACATCATATTTACCATTGAAGTGTTTTGCATTAATTAAAATACTAGTCTATTTTAGAAGACGTGTATTGACCTCTTTTGTTCCTAATACCAGATTTGAATTGACGCAACTTAACACGACGGAAGGAGTGTTGTATGGCATTGAAGCTCGTTTGGAGGTATGTTAGCACAGTGTCCAATGAAGGGCCAGATGTATACAAAATGGTGTCGTCTGCGTAGAGGTGGATCTGAGAATCACCAGCAGCAAGAGCGACATCATTGATATACACAGAGAAAAGAGTCGGCCCAAGAATTGAACCCTGTGGCACCCCCATAGAGACTGCCATAGGTCCAGACAACAGGCCCTCCGATTTGACACATTGAACTCTATCTGAGAAGTAGTTGCTGCACCAGGCAAGGCAGTAATTTGAGAAACCAAGGCTATTTAGTCTGCCAATAAGAATGCAGTGGTTGACAGAGTCGAAAGCCTTGGCCAGGTCGATGAAGACGGCTGCACAGTACTGTCTATTATCGATCACGGTTATAATATTGTTTAGGACCTTGAGCGTGGCTGAGGTGCACCCATGACCAGCTCGGAAACCGGATTGCATAGCGGAGAAGTTACGGTGTGATTCGAAATGGT